CTTGCAAACAAACACAAACGGTAAGGCAGTTGCTGCAAATGCCATAAACCGGTCGTTGGACAGTTTGGATGCCGAGTACAAAATCTCGCCAGAGATTACTCGAGGGGTGGTATCCTCCGCATTCAAGTAAAGGTTTTTGGCAAAGTCAATGGTCTTGAGAACACGATCGTCGGAAGCGAGTCGCAGAAGATAGCCCATTGATGAACAGTAAGAAGCGCTCACGGTGTCGTTGCGGTCTACCACATACTTGGTCAGGAGTTGGATGAATCGGTCTGCGTACGGGCGGAACATCAGGGTTTTCATGCTCAGCAGTACCAGCACGCGACTGCAGCCGACCTTGGATGGCAGGCCCACGGCCGACCGAAGCACATCTTCGAGTCGTTGCGCCAATTCGTCCAGGTTGGATTCGTCCAAATTGTCAATCAAATACCGCTCAATCACTTCCATCATGGGAGATGTACGGATGCTGGACAAGCGCATTTTGTCAATCTCTTGACCAGTAAGACCGTATTTGTCGGCGTTGAGATGGACGTAGTTCACGGCCTGCGGTTCCAGAGAGCTGAGAGCAGTCAAGAATTTCTCCAACATGTTGGGAACGTGTGGGCGCAGTAGGGTGCCCGGGCTTTTCTTGGTCATTTGTATGAGAGCACCAATGGCATACCCTTGCACCTCCTCAACACTAGAATCTAGTCCCTTGTCACTCAGGAGGAATGGGATAGCACTTTTGAGTAGAGTAGCTGCTCGCTTCTCTGTGCCATTTGTCTCAAGAGTGCGGATGACAGAATTGGTAATGGTCTGACAGAGCTTCAAAGCGGTAGTCCGGACGGATTCCTTGATATCATCGAGTAGCTTGAAAGCTTTACTGTAAACCTCATCTAGATATTGAGCGAACTTCTCTGGGCGACGACCTTGGATCAAATCTGCAATGGCAGCACAGCTGGCTTGTCGAACACGCCATTCTCGGCCAGCGAGTACGCTCTTGAGAAGATCCTGAATAATCTCATCAAAGTGGGTATCAATCACAACCGTGGGATCCTTGACCAGTGCCTGCCAGATGGTGTTCATAGATCGCTGCACATTCGGGTTAGGATCAAAGCGGTAACGGAACAGCTTGGGATAGATCTTGGGGTTTTTAGCCAGGTAGCCATCGACGCTGGAGTCAGAAAAGATGGTGCTGATGCCAAAGCGGCCAAATGCTGCACGATTCGTCCAAATGGCATTATTGGAGGCCAGTGACATGAATCGGTAGACCAGAGTCGGGTCACCGGCCTCAGCAGCAAGGTTCATGATATCCTTATATGTGTTGACAGACGACCCTTCACCGGTGGGAAGGGCGCCCGGCTCAAATAGCTGGGTGTCGGCCGTCACGTTGCCACCCCCGAGGTTGGGGCCGGTAGAAGTGAACGACTCTACCAAATCTCGCACCAGGTCATCCTTGAGCGATTGGTCGCCAATCTCATAGACAAGACTTAGTCCGTGCGCGCCGGTCTCCTGCACCACCTCATCCCGATTTCCAAGGAGACTGCTGAAGGTAGCTTGGCACTTGCGCAGGCGGTGCTGCATCTCTTGCATGTGGCCGCAGTTCTTGACTAGTGACAACAGCCAGATTGCAGACGCCTTCCGGAGAGATGGCTTAGGCGCAATGCAATCAGCAATAACCTTATCGCAAACGTCTGCAAACACCGAACGAGGGACATCTGAGCTAGGGAATTCTGCATCAAGGTCAAAGTCTTGGATCAGAGCCCGAGAATCCCATCCGACGGCGACGTTGCACAGGGCCTCGCCAACAGTGAACTGGACTTCGGGACTGCGGATCTCATGTAGACTGTACAGCGAGCCCAGAAAATCCTTGAACAGGGTGCCATCAGACCCAGATCGGGAGAATGTCAGAGTGAGGAGGCCCAATGAGCTGATAGGAATCTGATTCTCGGTCTTTGCATCTCGCGAGAGCTTCTCCTGGACCTTTTTCCAGCCATCCTCGGCAAGGATTTCATGAGTGAGTACTCCGGAGAGACTTAACTGGCCAATGGCCACCTGCGCGGTCCGCTGAAGGAGAGTATCACGCGAAACATCCAGAATATCAAATACAGTTTCAATGAACTGCTTGACTTGTGTTTCTGAGGTTCTCTTTGTCAAATTGCGGTACGCCAGTCGACTTAGCAGATATGTAAGTGCTAAAATGGCGCCGCGGACTCGCATGACCTCTTCACCGACAGCAGTATTCCATGACTGAATAGTACCAGTTAGCCCAGTGATGAAACTTTGCAGTTCATTCTCTGGGAATTTAGGATGCGAAACCAAGATTCCAAATGCGCGCGCAGTAATATCCTGATTGTCCTGGTTGTTACTGGAAATGGGCTCCATCAATGAGCTTGCACGCGAAAGCAACTGCTCAACAACATCGTTGGGTGCCAGCGAGCAAATTTCAACAAAATGAACGCCGCATTGCCGCAGACCTTGTCTCCCGCTAATCACAAGACCTTCTAGAGTCCCGGACAATAGTGTCAAAACAGACTCCTTTGCGGACTTTCGTGTGTACTGTCTCACGGCTTCCCGCGCCTCTACGCTGGAAGACAAAAGCACTTCCAGCTTGTAATCCCAATCTTGCTCTAGCTCTGCAGGAATCCTCGCCGCTGAGAAAGCCTCCCAAAGCAATGTATTGCGGAGGAATGAAATGGCAGGTACAAATGAACCTTTGTAGGGACCAGACAAGAGCTTTGATGCGGACAGCTCTTGGATATTTGACTGGTCTTCTTGCTCTTTTGACCCCAGCAGGAAGCGAGTAGCCTCGTTGAACTTGGGGAAATCAAACCAGGATTCATCGTGTTGCGCTGCAATACCGGACCATTTCTGATCCTTTGTGGGGTTAAGCAATCGGTACCAATACGGATGGAGTCCCTTCTTCCCTTCCTCAACTATCTCTTGTTGTCGTTCCGGGCCTCTTGCAATGGCCATCAAATCGATCCAACGGGCGACCACATCACCAAAGGGCAAGAACCGGTTCGCGAACCGCACTGCCGCATACTGAACACCTCGAACGACACGATAACCGGTTTCGGGGTCAATATCGCCAGGTTGCATGCTCATTTGACGAACCAAAAATGGCCGCAGCTGGTCTTGGAAGGTTTTATCATGACTGTCTAATGAGGAGTTGAGAATACTACCTAGCGCCTGGTCAATGCTGACGAAGATCTGAGGACTGGAATCATCTGCGCTCAAGGACGCAAACAGCCATCGCACTAGATCGAACTCAAAGTTCTCCACGGTATCGGATTGCATAATGAAGTCGACCTTGGGGACCATGATACCAATACTTTCGTAGGCTAGGCCTCGCAGGCTGAGATCTGTTGTGGGTAGTTTGTTTCCACTAACCGCGGGACTGGGCCATCCTTGAGATTGAATAAAATCCCTCAACCCTGCAATAAGCTTGGGTGCGATTTCTTTGAGATCAGACGGGGAGCCCATACGAACAACCCATGTGGTGAAGGTGAAGATTTGGGTTCTGAGTTTGGATGCTTGCAAGCCTTGGGAGGACCTTGCAGAATCGGAAAGAAGCCCATCTTCAATAAGTCTCAAAATCCTCTGCAGATCAGCTGTGGCCTTGATGGACTTTCCTAGGAAAGCTAGGAGCTTAACTTGGAGCGGGGGTCGGACAGGGGGAGCTCCAGCGGTGCCGAAATAGAGACCATACAGTTCCTCAACCACTGCGGGATTCTCGATATCAGCGGCAAATCGCTTGAGGGTTTCATCGCCTAGGTCAGCAAGGCGAGAGTTGCCATCGGAAGAAGCGATAAGTGAGGGCAAAAATTTTTGGGCATCATTGAAAGCGCCACTGCCGATGAATCGGAGAGCAGTGACCTTGGTTTCGGTGAGGTTCAAGCCGCCGTCTGCTGACGGATTCCATGTTTCGTTTGCGGGCACACCTTTGTTTAAAAATGTGTATTCTTCCGGAGAAAGACCGGGACACGTCGTTGACTCCTTGGGTCCAGGGGTAAGAAGGAGCAATTTGGCCAGCCAAAAAGACAAGAACTGGGCATCGTCATCTGACAGACAGAGCCGCTTTTTCAAGTCCCGATCCTCTTCGCTGCCTTTGGGCGGCAGCTTCAGAAGTGGTAGCAGGCGCAGTACCAGATTAAACACGATAGCACCCTGGGTGGGCGAAGTTCCGATTTGCGAGATACCCTGGAGCAAGGGCAATAGAATGTCGACTCGAGCCTCGGAACCAAGGCGGTCAATGCCTTGTTGGGCATATATGAGATCAAAATGTCTGACCAGTTGGGATTTTTGCTCCTTGAATTGTTTGAGCAGAGCTGCCACGGGCAGCTGGATAGAGGGGGCTTCACTCGGGCGTTGACATGCTGGCAAACCGAGATGATTTTGTTGCGAACCGCGACGCTCTCCGAACCCAGTTTCAACAATAACGGGGCCAGATAGGTTTGAAGTAATGACTGCAGCTTCTCATCTGTGTCTGCCATGGCAATCCTGAATTCCACCTTGCCTATCAGGCTCAACTCGCGAGCCTCGGGGCTCTGTGAGTCCGCCATGGTGGTTGTACTTTGCAGGGTTGGAGAAATCCAGAAGAAGTATCAATTAAAATAGTTCAAAGGCAACAATTTAACAGAAATCACCTGGTTTTGTTCGATATAGGCAACAAACACTCACGTCATCGCCCTTCACGGTCGTATAACTACGGCCAGTCCACGATATTAGTCAGCTCGCTTAGTCAAGTCCGGTCCTGAATACCTTCGTGGCTAATTTGTGATATGATAAATTGAAAACACAGGAGGAATTGACTGGGATGTGCTCTCATCGATATTGCCCTTTGATCTCTACGCTAGTTTGGGGGGCACTGAGGCTCTAGTAAATTATGATATATATACATATCTACCTATCCATCCTGTCTTGTTTTTTTACGTAGATCATTCAACATATCTCCCCAATGACAAAAAGTAGCAAAAAAACTGTTGATTCCATAGCATAGACATCATATTTTACAATTATCATACGTAACTCGTTTCTTCATCCCTTCTGCGCTCAGAAGCCTCGCCCCTCAAGAACCGGCCTACTTCCCTCTCTGCCTCCATGGATGGATCATTGCTATCTTTATGGACCGTGCCACCAAAGAGACATTGCCAAAGGTCATCCTGCTTCACCAACTCTCCATCCGACGGCCCGCTTGTCATCAGGTTTGTGAGGCTGGCCTCCTGCATTTCCATCGAGTTGGCCGAGTCAATGACTGTCTCAGTAAGATCTTTGATGAGAGGACCATATTCATTGGGAGCGCCCGCTGAGTAACCTGTTTTTTCGTGCTTCTCTTTCTCAATGATGTGAGCCAGTCGTCGAGTGACAGAAAGTTGATAGATGGATTCTTCCACAGTCCCAGAGACAAGGTACATCCACACCGTCGTTGGCCGGTGCTGGCCAATACGATGTACTCGAGCGATGGCCTGTAGTTCTATTGCCGTATTAATAAGCGGTTCACAGAGAAAGACGTGGGTTGCATTGATCAAAGTCAACCCAGATGATTGGGCTTTTCCATGCAACAAGAAGCACTCAATCTGTTCTTATAGTCAGCAAATATCCCACCCACCAAAGGAAGCCCGTGGGGTCCATACCGCTGGATCCCTCTTGAAACTTTCTATACCATCCGGCCTGTCAATGCTACTACTAACAATCTTGAAGCGATAGAATGCCGCCTGTAGCACCGTCAGAAAGCTCTTGTACTGAGAAAAGACAATCGACTTTGCCCCGGGGTCATGTTCCCGCAACCACAGGATGTGACGAGCCAAGGTGTCAATCTTCGTTCCGAAAGAGTCGTCCAAGTCGATATTCTTGATCTCTCTAAGAAGTCCGGAGCTGATATCGCTATAGATTGCGTTTTGAGCATGCCGTTCATGGCCCACTTTGACAGACGATTCCTCTTCCTGGGCCACCAATTCCTGTGGCTTGTATGTGATCTGATGAAAATCCTTGAGCTTCAGGGTCTTCTTGCACATTGGGCAGCTCTTGTGGGAACGCCACCACATGCGAATACAATCACTGCAATACTTGTGACCACAAACGGTCAGTACACCTATAAAGGTCAGTCCAGGCTCAAACGAAACCGTTAGCACACACAACACTTACCAACTTCAAAAGTCGATTGGCAGATAATGCAGATCCTCGAGGTATTCTCGGCGCTGGAATCATCCCTCAGGTGGATGAGGTATCTACCTTTAGACTTGAGCGAAGAGATTTTCCCTTCAAGAATTTCCTCCTGCTTGAGTTTCGAATTAAAAAGGTCTTCATCCAGTGGCTTGCCCGCACTTTCCTCGTCGTACGGAGCCACTGTATCCGAAATCTGCTGCAGGTGGCGATAGTACTCGAGCCGATTGTTCATGGTATCACGGAACATTTCGACTTCTTTTTCTAGATTGGATGATACCTTGAGTTGCTCCGAGATCATTTGACCGGCATTTTTCAAAACCAAGTCGACTATCTCATGCTCAGCACGGGCACGCGAGCTCCCAGAGCTAGCTTGCCAGTCCAACGACGTCAGAAGGCTGCGAAGTTCACTGACAATACGGCGGAGTGACCCAAGCTGAGGATCTGGCATGAGCTCACTGCGAGTGTCCATAATCTTGAGGAAGAGCTGTGGAGAGGGTCCTTCGCCTCGTTGAGCCTGGATAATGCCAGCTTTGACCTCGTGGGAAATGAGAACATTCTTTTGACCAGTGAGGGCATCGTAACGATCGGCGTACATTGAGCGCAAAGCCTCCATGTAGACATACATCTCATCTTGATGTTTTGTAGATCGCTCATACTCATTGCCCTCCAGCTCTGCATCTTCTTCCTGGTCGATGAGCGATTGCGAGACCAGTTTAATCATGACAGCGCGCCATTCATTATACTGCTCAGCATGTCTGTTGAGTGCTGCACATAGGTCTTCAAAATTTCTGAGCAGTTGATAAGACTCAAGACCCTCGCTATAGAGGTAAGGCTTCATCTTTGGAATGTTCACGAATTGCTTGTTTCGTGTCTTCTCCTTGATTGTTTTCATGTAGCGCTCAACTTTTCGGGAAATATCTGTCAACATCTCCTTGCGAATCATTTTGGCCGCCTCGTAGCCATCTTCTTCGCGTTTTTCGAGTGATTTGAATTCTTCAGAGTCTGGCTGGGTTAAATTTGGATCACTTTTAATCTGGTAGAATGCATTTGCTGTGAAGAACACTGCGATGTGCTGAACCTCAAGCGCATTTCGAAGCTTTAGCCTGTATTGACCAAGGCGGCTGTTGTTGTCAGCATCTTCAGCCTCGTCCCCGTTCAAGTTTTCCATTGCCGAGATGGTTCCATTTATACCATCTGTAGCACTCTCGATTTTCAGCCGCTGCTGTCGCAGTTGTTCTCTGCTGTTTTCGACCAGTTCGGTTGCATGATCCAATGCCTTTTGCCATAAAACGAGGGCCTCCATGCGGCGTTTTGCGTTTTCCAAGAGCTGGCCTCGTCGAAGTTGAGAAAGAAGAAGTGAGCGTTCTTCCGCACGAATAGCCGTCTCATTGGCCTCGATCATGACCTCCAGAACCTCGTCTACAGTCCGTAATGGTCCATTATTCGCACCTAATGCTCGACGAGTGCCTGACGAGACTTCAGGATGAAGACAGGTTTTGCGTAGTCTTGTTAACCACACACGCATTTTTTCGATGATAACCGGATCTTCAGGATCCCAATTCCCCCGAATGGGTGCCCCTGAGGCGTCAAGCCCGCAGTCCTCACACATATGTTCAAATAACTGCCCGTAGTGCTGCTCTTCTATGGCCGTGAACGGGGTAGTTATGACAATGCGTTTTTGAGGGGGAAGACGAAGCTCGTCGCGCACTTGATCCTTGCTGTGTCGAAGGGCGATCGCGTTGATGATGGTGACCAAGACCGACCCAAATCGTGAAATCAACCTCTTCCATAACGGATTTGAGAAACAAAACGGCCCATAATGAAGAAAGAGAAGAAGACCGAACAGGTCATCTATGTCCCTGCGTAGCGGTGTGCCGGTCACAGCCCAAGCGATCTCCCGAGGAATCAACCGTGCTACTTTTGCTGCGTTGCTGACTCCGCTTTCAATCATCTGGGCTTCATCTAAACATACACGCCACCATGAAATGCGAACCAGGGGTGTCTTCCTGGGCTCGAATCGCTTTATGTGCCGGAGATTTCTTTCCGGTGCCATACCAGCGTAGTGAATTTCTCGAGAGATGACGTGATAGGTGGTTAGGACAACGTCGAATTCGGCGAGCTCATCAACAATCATGTCATCTGTTTCCTCTTTCCCACGTTTGATGCCGGTGTAATGGTGAACCCGGAGGGCAGGGGCATGCTGCGCCAACTCCTGTTTCCATTGCTCAAGAATAGCCGGCGGTGTGATAATCAAAGTCGCACCAGATGGCTTCAGTCCATCCGGGTCAGCCTTCGGCTGCGGCCCTGAGAATCGGCGGTGAAGATTTATTAGAGCAATCATTTCAACTGTTTTGCCCAGTCCCATTTCCTCTGCAAGTATCCCGCCCTTCAAAAGATCCGAAGCATCATACCATTCAGAGACGTCGGTAGTCAGGATCATGAAGAGGCGACTGAAATAGTATATTCGTCCGTCGGCGTCTTTCATTTTCCCGAAAGACACCGGAAGCTCGCCTTTCCGGACCCGTTCCATCGGAACGACTGTGCCATCTTGTTGAACTTCCATACCCTCTCTCTGCAACAGCCACCGAAGTGCCCTCTTCTGAAATGGAAATAGGTCACAATCTATATCAGGACATGCAAGGTTTGAGGCACCTTCTGTGGCTTGAGGAACGTGGACACTGTTGTAAAACTCTCGGGGAGACCACTTTTGCGGGAGACCCAGCATTCGTTCGCGACGTTGATCTCGCTCGTATGCAGTTGAAGGGTGATCAGGTGGCTCCTGTAGCACGTATCTTGTAAAAGCCTCCAAAGCCGAATCCTGTAGGTAGGAAAGGGCCGGGACCTCGAGTGAATCCTTCCATAGAACAACGGTCTCGAGGATAAAAACATCCCTATCTGGCGACACAGAAATGGAAGCCTGGTAGCAGGCGATCGGAGCATCGTTGGAGTATTTGTTTGCGTGGGCGAGTCCGCTGGCGTGTCGAAACTGCTCTAGCAAATCAAACAACCGCGAATCCTGGAATGAATGTGCAAATGAATGCTTTCCATCAAGATCATTTATTTTGAGTTCCATAATGCAAGCCTCACGACCAAGCGAGTCTTGTTGGGGCGCATTGTCTTCATCGTCATCGAGTCGGCGAATATTGCGGACCTCCGTGACGACAGGAACCCGAAGGGGGCATTGTTTCAGACCTTCTAATTGCTCCTGCTTAAGTATATTGTAAGATGGTGTTTTCTAACGAGAAGGTGGCGAGTCGTTAGTATTTCTGCAGTGGGTGGCACGTCAGTCATGAGAACTCACCATGCGCAATGTTAATCGTGCCAAGGGAATGTAGCCTAGAGGTATCCCTGTTGCAGATTCGCCGTTTTCTTTTACCAAGCATCTTGAGTGAGACTTGATGACCTTGCGCCGCTTGGTAGGATGGTCATCGGGGTTCGGTGCAACCGATTGTTCGAATATGCGATGTAGGGACCCAAAGCGGCTGTCTAGAATGGTGAGGGTTATCAGTACACATCGTCTGCTGTCAATCGGCCAAGAGATGCAACTTTACCTGGCAGTGTGATTTCATCTGCAACTACACTCATTATGAACACCGTTTTGCACGCCTGTGCTGTCGCCACAAATAAGTTGACCGTAATCGCAAAGGCGAAGCTGGAGCCGATAACTTATCGCGCAACGGATCACGTGCTGATAACAGACACAGATCACGTGATATTGTGATGAAAGTGGCACGTGCAGAGATCACAATCGCGATCGATAAGATACCGGATAAACAGGCCGGATAAATGCGAAGTATGGAAACCAGAAGTCAACTTCAAATGCTAAAACAGATCGATGTACAGTACTCCGTTAGTGTTAACTTAAACCAGAGCCATACCTATACATGGGTACTCTAAGTCCCATCATAGCAAATTCCCAGGACTTGAGTAGAGCGCTCATCACCTCGTGGGCATTTTCATCATTCCCTCCAGCACCTCAATGTTGCTCATTGCAAACTCTCTTGCCTCGGTATTATATGCCGTGGTCTTCTTTTCTCTGCTTTGGTATCTTTGATATCTCCCAACGGTCGTAAAAAAAGCCTGCTTCCTACAGACTGCTTCTCCAAACCATTCTCCTGAAAGTTGCTTGCTTAACAAATCCACTTCCACTGCATGATATCCATCTTATTCATTCTTCCAACACCAGACCATCCTTCGACACCGGGCCTGCTGATCCATCAGAATTTCGAAGCCCCAACTCACAATGGGAACCGATTCAGGCGAAATGCCTAGCAGCCCCAAGGTCCGCATTGTGGACAACCTGAAAGAGTAAGTTGCGAACCTAGAAAGCGACCGGTTTGAATCTAATAATAACAGCTTCTGGAACTCAAGTAAAACGTCCGATTTTACTATTGTGACCCAGGATCAGAAGTTTTTCGTCCACAGGACAGTCATTTGCATGCAATCCGATTTCTTCAACCAGATGTGCAAGAACGATTGGACAGTAAGTCTCTTCTGATACTATATGATACGGTCGGCTCTGATTTAATTATTACAGGAGACACAGAAGAAGACCATTGAGCTCAAAGAAGACAATCCTCGTGCCGTTGAAGCAATGCTGAAGTTCTTTTACGGTCTGGACATTTTTGCTCCCAACGACATTCCTCCGATGTTATTCTGGGTCTCAGTTTACCAGATTGCCGACAAGTTTCTTGCCTCGCAGTTGAAATCAGATGTGACTGAGCGGTTCGTGCCTCTTGTGCACTACAACTGGGAAGATGAATGTTTTCCAGAGGTCATTGCAGAGGCTTACGACAGCACTCGGCCTGATGATCGTGGCCTTCGCGATACAATTCTGAAAGTCGCTTACGAGAATCTCCCAGCGTTACGGAAGTCCAACGAATTCCAACGGGTACTTCGGGAAATCCCCGGATTTGCTGCCGATCTAATCTTGGCGATGGATATCTATGACTGTGAATTAGTGCCTACCCGATGCATGACAGCCGCCTGCCAGGCCGAGTGGTTCTGCCCTCGTGGAAATTTGTACCCAAAATGCCCCAAGTGCGCCAAGCGATCGGTCCAACATGGATATCTCGGTTGAACTTCTACCTTGGTCTTCACATTCGAACAGATCAGCTCTATGAGGAGAATTCAAAATGGCAATGAAGGAAAACAAGGAAACAGCAAAACAGGAAGCTTCGGCTTAGCAGAAACTGATTCAAATTGCCACGAAAATTCGCTATGCAGAACCCGCTATACTGTGGCGTTACATCCCTATTCACTTGATTAATACTGGATTAAATCGTTCATTAATAATATTCAACGTGTCCGGCTAGTATTGGCATTTGAGTTACATGAATAGCACAATAATGTTACAGAAGAATCCCACAGAATCTGTTGTTTACCCCCATCACACAGTTAACGGCCACTGCGTACGTCTCAGAAAGGGAGTACTTGATCATGATGACAAAAAGGGCATTCAAGGAAATCTCTCACGATCCCAACTTGAATCTGCCATTTTGATAGGCAATCCATGCAAACATAGGACTCGACGATACGCGGTTCCAAAGACAAGTTTGGAGGCAGCCGTTGGCGCGAAAGAAGCACAAGATCGCTGGCAAGTCCAGGAGTATCCGCAAGTAGAGTTTCAAATTCCTGTTTCTCTCGTAGGTCCCTTCTGTGTGTCTGACACATTGCCACAATTAAATCACGAAGACCCCGATCTTCCCTTGGTGTGGCGGTGTATGCTTCAGAAATTGCAATCAGGAAACTATTCGAGGCCCAAAGATCTTGCACGCAAGAAGCAAAGGTGAGTCTGGCTTGTACCTTGAGGTAGTCCAGTTGGTATTTTGCAGCAATGTTGTAAACCATGACGTTGAATAGCATGGGGCACATCTGGCTTGTGGCTTTGTTGATCGCGTCGTAGGGTAGTCCGTAGAAAGAGCGCATCATGGCCTCGATGATGTGTGGGTGGTCATCCTTCATTTCGAGCGCGTACTGTCCAGTGGTATGGAGTTCCTATAAAGGTCCTAGTCAGCTTCTGCATATTGTAGAGAGTATGGTTTCCGAGACGGCTCACCTGAGTGTCCGTTACGATGAGGTCACAAAAGACCTGAGACCGCACACATAGCACTAGCCTGTGTACCTGGAAGGTCCTGTCTGATGTGAAAACAGTGAGGTCGGAGAAGGCTGCAGAGTGCCAGAAGCTGCTTTCATTAGCGTTCGTGTTTTGAAGACAATATGGCGCCATGGACTTACTCTTGGAGTCTGTGGATAAACAGGTCAGTCCCCTCCACGCTGAGTGCAGTGATCTCCATTGCAAATATGTGTTTTAGAAAGATGCAAGAAGAGATGCGAATATCTGGCAAGGAAAAAGGAGAGAGTTGGTGAGTAGAAAGGGTGTGCAAAGTGAAAAAAGAAAACAAAAGTGACATGAGAAAGCTGTGGAGAGCTGGACTGGAGGAGTGACTTGGCTCTTAAACCAGACCAGGCAGAAGGAGAGTTCATTGAGCCTCGAGCTTTGTTTACTTTGACAATCAGGAGATTGAATATAGTCACTCTGTTTGAAATTATGTACTGTCATCTATAGCATCCAAAGACAGGCATGTCGGTTTGATTTAATGATTTCATATTAGATGAGGTGAATATTGACTTGATATATGCAGCTCAGAGTGCGGGAGACCCAGGCCCATTCCCAAGAATAGCTCTCACGCTGCCTCTCCCTGATTCATGGTCTTGTGGAGATGCCTGGGCCTTGCCATGGGAATCCGTGTTATACACAACGGTCCCATTGATTGCGTGAACAGACTGTTGGTACGTTTGTTCGTATGCTTCGCTTTCATATTTCTCAACTGTCACCCCATGAAGCTGAAGGTCCGCCAGTAACTGATCTATACCGTGCTGTGCCAGATTGGGCTGTGTGAAGACACGATGGCTCTGAGGTCAAGCTGTAAGTGGAAATACCGGGCCCTCCTGTTGTCTCGAACTTGGGACCTCTCGTCATCCAAGAGTCGATCGTCAGCCCGTTTGTGGTAATGCCGTAGGTTGCGTTCACAACTAAGGGGTATTCGAATGAAGTGCTGTTCGATGTGACTATGTCGGCACGCTCCGTGATAATGTTCTTTCCAGCAGTAAGCTGTTTGTTGACTTGGCTGTATCCTTGCTGATTGAGTAGGCCGTAATTAGAAAAAGACAAGGTTTGAGACCACGAGAATCGAGAAGACTCTGTTCTGAAAGTTCTCTCGGCCACCACGGAGTACGATAAAGAGTCGTTCCCTCCAGTGTAATTATGCGCAAGTTTCCGAGAGATGGTAAACGTTGGTAAAGGAGCCTCCACTCGTGGAACTTCGCTATCATTCACAGTAACAGCCTCAGAGGCAGAATCCTCCCCAGTATAGAGGAAGATATTTCCCGTGATAACCCAGTATGAACCAACAGTATTCGCCAGGGTTGCTATTCCATTAACCGAGGCATTGAGACCAGGCACCCGGATCTCAAATGAATGCAGTTCACCATCTTGAAGCATGGGAAGAAATGGAGAAATATCAATCTCTGGCTGCCGGAGATCAAATGCGTCAATCCCAACAATCGGACGCCAATATACCGGAGTTACGCCCCCCGTGAAGATGATAGGGAATGGCCAGACTAGTCCAGCAAGGATGTGATGCCGTCGATATAAGTTGAATTTCCCGGAACGGAGTATATCCATAAAGTCCGCCTACAGTGCTTTCAAAGTATTGAGTATCCTCATTGAGAACATTAGACCACCAGAATTCTTCCTCTGATTGACCGCATGCTGAGATCGATACAACAGCGCGCGATGCCGCAGCCGGAATCTCGAGCATGACAGTGGTGTTATCCGTTGGGATCTAAAAGGCGCTTGGGGAGTTTGACGCTGACTTTTTGGCAGAAAGGGGCAGGATAATATCCGCAGTCCTCACAGCTTGTCTGTAGGAGAAGTGTGCCGTCAAGGTCACATTGAACGAACCGGTGTAAACGTCGTTAACGATATTGCCCAAGTCAAAGATCAGCTTCTGGGGAGCCTGCCAGAGCGAATTATACTGTGACATTTCTTTGATATAAGTCCAGACAATTCCATTTGCAGTTGGCTCTGCTGTGGAAGTCCGGAATACTTCATTGTCCCCAAGGTACATCAACGCTAGTCGATCATACTGCCTCCCCCGGGAGATGACTGTAAGATTGATCTGGATAGTATCAAAGTCACAGCTTGGGGGCTCATAGTCGCCTGGTTGATGGCAAGTTTAGCTACATTCAGATAGAAGGAAGGTTTCAGCCTTTCTTACCCACGAAAGGCGATCCATAACTTGCCCCGAAAATATGATCCATAAGTAATAGCTCGACATTGCAGCTGTTATCTCCGCTGGGCTTGAATGATACTGGTTGATAGACCTGGAAGACTTCTTGCAAGCCCGTCGAGCTAGGCGTCTGGGACGAAGACTGAAGCAGAGACTGTGAACTGGCATGCAATGAAGAGGCCAATGGGAGATGCCCCCATAGCAGCAATCCACACAGTGCGGTTAGAGCCATTGTAACAAGCAGCCTCGGAATTGGGCTTGATTGTTGTAGGCCACAGAGCTAGCGGGGAACGTGCAATACTTGTGATGATTTAGTTCTTCCACGGAGCCCAATATTGATTGATCCAAACCTCTGAAAATGCAGTTCAGACAAGACGAATAACCAATCGATCAGGTAAGATAATATAAGTATCGACAGTTGAGAGAGAAAGAAAGTTGATTTATGCAGACTGGGAGCTAAGTGCCCCTGAAGATAAGGAGAGGGGGATCCTGGAAGGTGCATCGCATTCATGCGCCTCCTCCCCTAGCCCAGTTCGAGAGGTTATTCACCCTTTACACTAGGAAGAAGAGCGGAGAACAAGTCGAGTATCCAATGGGCTTCCATTAATAACCAAAGAATTCTTGGTATTGTCTAAACCCATAATTTGGCCAGACGAGTAGAGAGTATGTGTACGAAACAAAGAAAAAGAGTAGGAGATCAAAGTCTCATATAAAGCCAAAATCACTCCATATCCATGCACGGGGTTGTTTACCCTATAACTTCACATAAACAGGCGCCAGGCACCAAGAATCAAAGCGGCGGTACCGGTACAGACACCCCTGGAGAGAAATTAGAGTCAGTATATGTTGGTGCAGGGCATTTCGGAAATCATACATGAGCCACTGTAACGTTGAGAACTTGACAGCCTCCACCCGTTCTCTCAAGCCAGCAACTTCCTGCTCAATACGCGTTTCGGTCTCCTTGATCCGCATTTCTTGGCCATTCGCTTCCTCGCGAATTCGGCCCTTTTCAAGGTTCAAGTCCAACCGGACAGAAGCTTGAGTTCGGCCGATCTCATCGCGGAGTCGGGAGTTGAGCTTGGCAAGATCAGCTGCAATCTTCTCGTGTGACGAGCGAGTCAACTGCGCCTCGGTGGAGTCTGCATTGAGAAGCTCGGAGCGTAGTTTGGCAAAATCCACTTTCTGTGTGTATGTTGATCTCTCCGAGTCTAATAAAGCGCTCATGTTAGATACCTCAGAGATACCAAGTGCAATGCGGCAACTCAGTAGCGAAACACATACCTTCCCGAAGAACCATAGTTCTGGTCAAATTCTGGATAGACTCTTGAATGATATCGTTCAAGACCCGCATCATAGCCACAGACTGCTCCTCGCTGAAGCCTTCTGCCTGGAGGCGCTTCACGAACTTCAGTGTGTCGAAGTGATGATCGCGAGGTCGAGCCGGTGTTGCATGAAAGGCGCGCCGAGCTGGATTGAAGGTTGCCACATAGACACCATTGTGACGGATAGGGTTGCTGGGAGGAGTTGTAGATGGCGCGGTTGACGGGGAGGGTCGTCGGGAAACAAGAGAGCTGGAAATAATTTCCCGGGAAGATGACGAAATGAAGCGGGATGACTGATAGGTATGACCGAAAGAATGGATCTGTCGGTTCAAGGGACTCCAGCCTTGAGGAAGTGGTCTTTGACTTGCGAGTGCGGGATGGTGGGTGATGGTTATGGAAGGGCGCGACGAGGAACTGTTCCAGGTCAGGCGGGGAAGGAGAGTGCGCGGGACCTCCACGACATGTTTCTGGGACGCCATGTCAAGGACAACGGGCAGTAGAATAGTTATAGATTTGATGCTCAAGTGTGGACCTGGGAAAGATCCAGGTCGAGAACTTGGGAAACGGATGACTAAAGCGCGGAAAGATCGACGTTTCCCGACGGCTCCACGGATTGTCCGCATTCTACTGTATGTTTTGACAGTCCAAGGGAGTAAAGGATTAAAGGATCAATTTGATCTATCTTTTAACATGTCTCAATGGAGATCAAACTTTGCATGCAAACGCTATCATAAATCCATGCGCATGGGTATTGCACCAACCTCACATCTACAGGTCAAAAATCTTCTTGAGCTGGTTCATGGTGTCCTCGGGGCCATCGACAGCGTGTCCAATGGTGCGGGGGTCTTCATAAATCTCATAGTCGTTACCTCCAACGAAAGTCTTGTCACCGAAGAAGTGGATGGTGCTGTATTCGATGCCCGAGATGCCCTTCTCCGCCTCGATGTGCTGCAGGCAGTAAGTCTTGTCCCACCCGGTGGGGAAGACATCAAAGGAGATTTGGCCACCAATGGAGTATCTTTAATCCTTGTGTTAGCAGTGCTATTAAAGTAATGACCTAGGGAATACTCACGTGAGACCGTAGTCAGGGAACTCCTTCTTCAGGGCCTCGACCAGGTTCTTTCGGACGTTGTGGATCTTGTCGTAACTATATAAAGTCAGTTAGACCATCATAATTTTCCCAAGTACACCTAAAATTATAGCAATATCAAGAATGCACGTACGCTTCGAACTCATTGCGCTCATCATGGCTGGCTGCACGTCCAACAGGGCTAATGTTGACCATTCCGTTGCGGAACTCAATGAAAGTACCGCGCTTACGTGGAAGCTTGGTGTTGGCAATGAACTTCAGAACAAAGTCCACCAGCGCCTGGTACTTGTCCTCCCCAAGCCACTGAATAAAGTTGTTGCTGGCAAGCGACTTACCCAGGCGGAATGCAGTCAAACCGTTCTCGGAGAAGCAGAAGTCAAACAGGGTGGTGACATCGATAGTAGAAGTTCCGAGTTGTTCTTGCTGCTTCACAAGGTTCGAGCCGCCAACCTGCATCGTATTAGAAGCTAAGTATGTGCACTGTCTGGGCGGATACAAACAAATCCAATGGCGCACTTGTGACGCAATCGAGAGAGAAGCTCAAGCATCTCTGGAGAGGCATGCTACAATCACCATATGTCAGTATGATGAGTTCAAGACAACGGTTCCAGCACAACCTACACGTCTTGCGGGGGTGAGAGTCTCGTCGACATCGAACAGGACAACCGTGTTCTTGAGGGGACGGTTCTCCAATGAAGGATAGACACTGGCAGCTTCGGTCATATTGAATGAATTTCAAGAATTGAATCTCCAGGGGATAAATTAAGAGGGGAAATTCCAGACTCGGGGATAAATATAGAGGGGCGCTTTTTGACCGCAAGCGGTGAGCCAGGGCGGAAGCTTAGCGCGTCCAGAAGCAGAGAGAATGCCACCTGGTCTCAGGAGTTGAATCATTGACTTAGGGTACAATTGAGTAGATGCAATTATATAGTACATTTACTTGGGTAGTGATGCGTGGTTGATATTTGGACTGAGTCTACTCTGTACCTGGTTGTTATCGATAAGATAGTAGGAGGGGGGTATCAAGACTATACTACTCCGTACTATGTGCGTGTTATTCTACGTAAGTTGCAAGTTACCTATATGTAGATACATGTTCCATCCCATACCAATATTATCCTTATCCCATAAGAGTCCATTTCCTAAACGCCTAAGCCATGGATCAAAAAGTACACGCTCAGCGCCCCATTGTAGACTGGAACATCTTGGCTGCAAGCTCACTTAAGAGTCGGGTCCGATCTGGCTGTGGAAGGTCCAAGAAAACTTCATAGACACTTTTGCCCTTGGCATCGCGGACAGCACCAAGCCGGTTTCCAGCAACAGCGCCAGCCAGTGCCCCGGGGAAATTACCCACGATGAAACCCAAAGCACCTCCACTGACACCACCGACTAGTGCCCAAAATCGTCCGGTTGGGCGAGTCCGCCTGCCGCCTTCTCCATCACTTTCCTCGGCAAGACCTTCTTCGCGCAGCATCTCTTCGAAAACGGAGCCGAACTGGTCGCTGTCACGGTCATCGCGATTACCACTGAATCCAAAGTTGGACCAAGAGAAACCACTGCCGCCACTAGGTGGTACCTCCTCTTCCGCTTCCTGGTCCGCTTCTTCGTATGCGCGGGCAGCATCGTATTCTCGGCGACGCACAGGGTCAGATAGAGTATAGTAGGCGTCGTTAATATCCTGGAACTTTCGTGTCCGTGCAGGTCTCTCGGGGGAGTCAGCGGGGACCCGATCAGGATGGGATTTCAATGATTCCCTGCACACTTGTTAGACAGTCACTGCCAATAAAGTTGTGATGCGCTGACCTCTTATATGCGCTGCGGATCTGTGATTGCGTGGCATCATGAGAGATTCCCAGAATCTTGTCTGTAATCTATGTTAGGTGGAGTCGTCATAAGGTAGTGAGGGGGCCTACAGTAATCGGGACCTATTCAAGGGTTAGTATAAATAGCTAAGTAGTGGGGTATGGTCAACGCACTCGACATGTTCCAGACTGTATTATAAGGATGTGAAGAAAGAGAAGCAATACAGAACTACAAGGCAGAGTGGAAAGCCACATCACGTGGAGTGACGTCGCTCCCGCCTGAGGCAACAATTTCACTTTCCATGGTTCAGACTTCTTTTTAATTACTTCTGTGGACTTCTATATAGCCAGGTGTATATATTCACAGATGGACTTGTCAGACGGACTACTCCGTATGGAGGGGCAGTCTCAGACATGCAGTGTCTAAGGCAAAATGGGGTTCGGGACTAAGTTCAGCTTGCGAAATCCCAGCCACCTTATTCCGCACAGGGGTAATTACTCCTAACATCTTAAGTTCCTGACTTTGATTCGCCTGAATATAACCTCCAGTGTTTCTATCTCTTCCCCTGAGACTTTAATTGCCAGCTGTCACAGAAGATTACTCCATACCTGCACAGCACATCCGTGGTGGAGCAGATGCACACAGCGGCCTAGACCACACACACATTGCGCATCGCTGCAGCTCTTAGTGGCTGACTTGCATCTGTCTCTTTTTGCTCTCTGAATTGCCACACAGAAGGGCAAAAAAAGTCTCAAAAAGAACCATCTGGGGATTTCTTGCGCAATTGCATCTTCAGGAAACTTCAACTGTGTACCAATCCACAATTTCCTAGGACAACCTCAGGACACCCAATTCCCACACAGTGCTGTACCAGTAAGCAGCGTCACAACATCAACGCAATGGGTTGGTTCGATGGTCGATCGTCTGTGTCGTCGGTGGGCTATGTGCGCCGTCGGTCGCCGACACGCTCCAAATCAGGTTACTCAACCCATCATACGCGACACTCTGCTCCATCCTTCTTCGGCAATCTGGGTGGAGGTCGAACAGGAGGACGCTCAAGCCCATCTGTCTTTTCATCTTTCTCGTCATCTTCGTCACGACGAGCCCGGCCTCGGGAGGGATTCGTGCAGCGCATGATCCGGGACATCAAGCGCTTGTTCCGTGACATTGTTCGCTATGCCCGTCGCAACCCTGTGAAGGTCCTCATGTTGGTCATCCTGCCTCTCCTGACTAGCGGTGTTCTGCCAAAGCTGCTGGCCATGATTGGAATCCGCTTGCCCCATGGAGTCATCAGTGCACTAGGCGGCAGTGCGGCGCATTCTTCCCGCGGACTTGAGGGAGGCGCGGGCAGGGGTATTGGGGAGAACTTCAGCAGCCTGATGAACATTGCCAAGATGTTTGCCTAGACATGCAGAGCCGGGCTAGTCATTCAACCCATTCCACGATTTGCGATACTCACATAACGATCATGATGATACACCCACTGTCCCTTTTGCTCTCGATGCTTCGAAACTGCGTTCTTTTCACCTTCTGCGTTCTTGTCCTCATGTACTGGGAGGCTCGTCTGGATTCGATAGAATCATTATCTGGAAAATCTTCTGTTTGTTATCAACAATGAAACTATTCAAAACCCCACTCAGGCGAACTAGGGGGGTCTCCTCGTTATCTAAGTCAAGAATTGGTACCCAAGTGGATATGCCCCGTCGGACAGCTATACATCGCACTAGGTGTGTCTGCATGTCACTAGCAGGATGTGAGTTGGCCCCTAAGTAGATCCGCCGATGAACAGATCTCCCGCTGTTTGGCTGGCGAATCGTAAATGTCACGTATTACAGGGATTCCAGGACATACTACAATTACTTTTGGGCTCTTGGCCAACTCGTGTCATTTTGCTCTATGAGCTTTTTGGTTCTCTCCAAGTATGTGTACAGTTAAATTCCCAGGGTACTGCCTATAGACTCTATAGCCAAATTTTGTGATCAGAGGAAGAAAGACCAACGCTCAAGATGTATCCAACAATTGGGTATTCCCCTTTTTAAGCAAGTTTATGATCGCTGAGAGCGCTTGGAACGCTTGCGAGAAGACCGGGTCGAGGTGGCAGTAGTCTCACTGGCTTCCTCGACTGGCTCATCGATATCCTCAAACTCCTCTTCGTCCTCGGTGGGAGAAGTACCCAACACCCGGCCAACAGTCCGGTTGAAACACCAGATGGGAAGCTTGCACAGCATCGTTTCACGGATGGTTGGGCGCTCTATCTGATCGATGTCAAGCAGGAATTCCTGACGTTCGCCATCCTCGTTCTGCTCTTCCAGGAACACATTGCCAATGGAGTCAACAATCAAAACCTTGCCGTTCTCAGCAACGACGCGCTTGCGCTCGCCAGTGCTGTTAGTCGACTCGGTAGGTGTGGAAGTTCCAGAGGCACGAGCACTAGCCCGACCTCCTCCTTTCTTGTCCTTCTTGTTTTCCTTGTCCATCATTCGCTTTTGGCGACGGTTCACCGCCACGGCTCCGGCCTCAGATTCGGAGGCGAGAGCAGGAGCAGGAGCAGCAGCCGAGTCAATTCCAGGGATACCACGGACACCTGTCTCATCTCCCCAGGCAGCTCTGCGGGCCTGACGAATGTAGCGATCCACAAACTCACGCTGCCTCTTCCAACCAAGGATCAAAGCAGCGTAGTGTGCACCACCACCGAAAACCAGGAACAGACCAGCCAGCACGGAGCCCAGACCAGGACGGAAGCGCGAGTAGTAGTATCCAGTGCCCTTCCACAAGGGGAATCCATGGCGGAGGAAGTGATCGTAGCGTTCACGCCCCGGGCCACGTAGAATGTTGGCAACCAGATTCAGGCGAGTAGAACGAGCATCGGCATCCTTGACAGCAGCCTCAATCTCACGTTGAGAAGGACCTTTGTTGACATTGACACCCTGCTTCGACTTGGCCTTGCTCTTGTCCTTGGAGTAGTTGGCAACGAAGGCGCGCTTGACCTTGTCAGGGTGGAGGATTCTCGACTTCTTGCGGTAAGCCTTGGTGATCTGTTCCTGATTGGCATTGGGGCGGATCTCAAGGAAGTCTGCAGGGTAATGGAAGTCAGATGTGTATCCCTGAGGTGCCAAAAAAGAATAGAAAATGAAATAATAAAAAAATGGAAAAAAAGGGAGTCTTCACGTACCATAGAAGGTTACATTGGCACCTTCATTTGAGGCCACATCATCGCGTAGACTAAAGATCTCATAGTCTGTGAGATACGATCAGTTATGGAGCTCGCTCTCAGGGTACACAATACCAACCTTCCTTGGACCAGGCGGCGACCAGGCTAAAACAAATAAAGAGGGACAGCAACAAGAACTTCATGATGGCGGTCAATGCCGCAAAGCCGAGCAGAGTATGTGGACGAATAAGCAAAGGAGTTGGACATGTCTTCGAGGGAAAAAGCGGTCGGGCTTCGATCCACCAAACGTGGCCCAATCGAGACTTGGACTTTACAGGTGCATTACTAGCGAATTGTTACAGTTAGACACGTATATATAGATATAGACTGAGTCACCTTTCTGTAGACTTTTCCTGGTCTTGCAAGTCTCACAAGTCCAGGTCTCGCAGGTCTTGCAGGTCTCGCAGGTCTCGCATCCGGAGTGGGAACTACTTCCGCTTCCAGTGAGGCCTGAAAAGAAACCACTTTCGATTTCTATTCTTAGAGACAATTCGTCCACCTAATTTGACCTTTGACCTTCTTCATCTTGACACCTTTCAGGCCTGACAGATCGGCCGTTCTGTAACTGACTAAACTCGAAAGGGGCAAGGCACCAAAAAAAGTGACTGCCTCATAACAACTCTTCTCTTCTCTCTTATCTGGCCAACTCTCGCTTTTCCGCCTCACTTCCAGCTTCTTTCATCTTTCAGCTTTCAGCTCTCAGTTTTTTATTCTATCTTCAAAATGGTCTCTATCCCGATTGACGCGATCACCTCGCGCTTTGGCGATCGCTTCAACAACATCCGCAGCACCTCCCTGACCACGCGGTTCGCCAACCTCAAGCCAGTCTCCGAATTCCTCGACATCAAGCGTCTGTCCAAGCCCGCCAACTTTGGTGAGGTCCAGAGTCGCGTCAACTACAATTTGTCCTACTTCTCTAGCAATTATGCCGTCGTTTTCGTCATGCTCAGCATCTACAGCTTGTTGACCAATCCTCTCCTGCTGTTTGTCATCGTCTTCATGACCGCAGGTTTCTACGGAATTGGCAAGCTTGAGGGCCGTGACCTGGATCTGGGCTTCTCGCGCTTCAACACTTCTCAGCTCTATACTGGAATGCTCATCGTCGGTGTTCCCCTGGGTATCTGGGCCTCGCCCTTCACAACTGTCCTGTGGCTGATTGGCGCAACTGGCGTGACCGTCTTTGGCCACGCTGCTCTATTGGATAAGCCGATCGAGAATGCTTTTTCCGAGGAGGCGGTCTAGGTGGTCGACCGCGAGCTCCTTACGATATGCCCTCATGGGGAAGACCACCGGGGGCACGAACGGGGAGACACAACCGGGGACGCGCGTGGGAAGAGGCGCGAGTGGAGGAGGTGGACAGCGAGGAGGATGTATATGAACGGGAGATGGTGCGGAGCGGGCGGTACATGCGACAGCTGGAGTATGGGGGGCGAGGGCCGCGCAGGCGGTCGGACTATGATGAACTGACGGATGATGAATCGGTGGATGGGGGAGACTTCGACCTATACGACCACGAGGATAGCACGGTGGCCTATGCGGTTCAACTGGCCATGCGGGACAAGGAGGATCAGTTGGTGGACAAGGCGCTGGAGCGAATTCGCCGGGCCCAAATGTTAGGACAGAAGAATGTCCGGCTATCGAAGCGCGAGCTGGATGCCCTGGAGCGAAAGCGTCAACAGATGGACGGCCCAAGCGGATCGCGGCGTCCCAAGCAGGCTACCAATCCCGCCAGCGCCGTGTCCCGACCATCGTCTCGACGAAGCGCTGCGCCAGAGCAACATCCGGGATCGTATCCGGCCTTTGCGCCTGATACAAATGGATGGACTCGTGGCACAGGTGCTTCGCGACCTTCCAGTTCATCTTCTGCGCGCCCGAGGACCCCGACTACCCACTCACTTCGTCCGCAGCAGTCCAACTCGCCTCTTCGACCTACCTACTCGCCTTATCCCCCCGACCGTTTTGCTTCGAATGGCCGGCCGCAGTCCCTGCAGCAATCGCCAATGTACCAGCGGCCTCTGCCAGATGATCCCCAATGGGCGCCATCGTACTACAACCAAATGCAGATGACCCCATACGGAGAAGCACCCTACCAGTCGCAACTCCCCACCGACCTTCGAGTAGGACCCCAGAGTCGCATGAGCTACCCATACGAAGCCTATCAGTCACCCCGGGATACGCGTCCACAAGGCACCCAACCCCGGGGAGAAAAGGCCGAATCTGAGTCTGAGTTGTCCAGCGAAGAGGAATCGGAGAGCAGTGACGGCGAAGTGCAGATCGTCAAGGTCCAAGAGCGGACGGCCCCGCCAACTGTTCGGCGGAGGGCTGTTTCTGGAGCAAGTCGAGGTGCCCGTAAGCGGACTAATCGGTGATGGGAGTGTCTCTCAGGGTTGTCCTGATATACGTATAAAATTATTTTCGGTTTGGGTGTGTTTTCCGGGGGTTTTCCCCAAGTGGCGTTCAAGGTAGAATAGAAACATGCATATAATTGTGCCACAAATATGGCTTGTAGATCAGACCGGCTACGTCGGAAGTGTAAGCCCGTAAATGCGCCAAGGCGTTCAGCCACCCGGAATACAGGCAGATCTTCGGGGCAGGGCAAATAGGCATTTGAGTTCTCTTAAATCTCTATGGATATTTTGCGCGGTGGGGCTGTTACGACGTTTTGATTGAGACGCTGCCTTGGCAGATGATGACGTCGGTCTGCCTCATATAAGTCTTTTTCCCAGTCTCTTTCACCTCATCTTCACCTTTAGCGGTTGACTTCTCCGATTCTTTGCAAAATATATCCGCTCCTGGCGCCATCATCATTCCCTCCCGGCATCCCTTGCCATCCCGCCACTGTATTTCCCTGGTTCTAGACTCTGGAGAGCGCCACTCATTGCAGCGCTGGAATGCTGTATACCAGCCTGAAACATTGTAAATAAAAGCGAAATAGGTGAGTTGTGCACATCAGATCCACTGGATCTTGCAGGGAGAGTCGCGTGGAGAACTTGCGACTAACGAGAATCTGCAGACCTTATTGTACATCCTAAACGACCTCGAGTCGCATTCTCTCATTGAACCGGGACTTCCGGCGCGTGGAACTCCCAAGCCCAAGCTTTCTCTCACTATATTGCATCGGTCTGGAAGTCAACATATATAGTTGCAAAGATGTGGATCATATCATTTTGGTTATTCCCGCTAGTCTCAGCATGCATGTGGGTTGGTAAGAAGTTTGAATGAATGTTTTAGTCTGGACTACAGCTAACGTGGTGCTTCCTAGCGATGCTCATTGCCATGCTTGTCACCTGGGTCACGGTGGGCAAGCCACACTATGCTAGTATGGACACTGGACAGAAAATTGCGTATGTCTCCTTTATGAAACCCACCCGAGTCACGAGCTAACAGGAGTGCTTTAGGTACATCTCGGATGTCGGAGCCCAGGGCTTGAAGCCACTCTTCATTGCAGGCAGTGTAGTCACCGTCGTCTTCCTCGATTTGGGAATCATCTCAGAGCGGTGGCTTCGACACGCCGGCCAACTGGTTCCGAACAAGGGTAAATTCGACAAGGGTTGCGCCGGTGCCTCGATCTTCTTCGCTATTGCCGGTGCCGCCGGTCTCATCCTGCTGTCATGTTTCGACACACTGCGCCACCCCAAGCTTCACGATGGATTTCTCGCCCTGTTCATGTGAGTCGTCATTATAAAAAGGCTTCAAGGAGTCACTAACCAGTTGTCTTTAGTGTTGGATACGTGATTAGTGCAATCCTCATCTGTATCGAGTACCTCCGCATCGGAATCTTCTACCGCCACGAACACCGCATCCTGCTAGCCAGCTTCTTCATCAAGGTTGCCTTCATCATCATCGAAGTTGGACTTGCCATTGGCTTTGGTGTTTGCATGGGCAGCAATGACATAGCCAAGAAAGACCCCGGTGCGATTCTCGAATGGGTGATTGCTTTTGTCTTCACCGGCTACGTCCTTTCCTTCATGATCGATCTCCTGCCTTCTGTTCGGACACGCCGCCACCTGCCTCAGGGCCATAAGCACATGGAGATGTCCCAGAGAGGATTCGATGGAAATTCCGAGGGCGTTTCCATTGAAGAGCCCCTGACCTACGACTCGATGGGCCCGAACTCGGGCTTCTATCGTGGCCAGCGAGTTTGAGAATTTCTTTCCATTTAAGACCTCATAATACATTGCTTGCTTACATTTCCCATGTGTAATTATATGATGTGGACGATTACTTTGATACACCCATGTTTTTGTTTTTGTTTTTTGCTTTCTTTCGGTTCTCATGGATACACATCTCCTTTTGGTGTTTGGGATATACTGCTGCTAATAACTTTGCTGTGGCTTTTAAGCATTTAAATTGTACACTTCTTTTTCAACAAAACTTTTCATTTTCGTGGAATTAAGAAACAAAAAGAAACCCCCTATCAAAATGATACAGTACGAAGGTAACCAAACACTACCTTGAGGCAGCCCACCCTCCTAACCTGGAACGAAAGGTACCTATATCAATCAGTTAAGCAGTTCCCTTTCCATACTCCTGCCCAATCTAGCTTAATCGGTATATATCCATGACAATATAGACACTCCTCCGGGTTGATTCTCGAAATGCTCCGTCTTAGACTATATGCCGTGGAGGCTTCTGGTCAGCACCGCGGACCTACTACCTTTCCTAATGTGATCGTCAATTTGCTGTTTCAACATTCAAGTCCAATAAGCTTCATTCTTTGCTATGTCAATGCTTCCAATCCCAAGTATGCCAGGGTAATTAACGTATTTACAATTCCCATATCGAAATACAGAGAGACAAGAATGTACAACTCTCTCAAGAAAGAAAAATGAACCAAAATACCACGTCAAGCCAACAACTTCCACCGAATGCGCTCCTGCATCCTAGCGTCAATGCCAATCCTCTCCAGATACCCCTCAACACCGCCATACCGATCTGTCAGATACTCAGTAGTATCAGTAACAAAGCCAGGTGGACAACGCGTATAATCCTCCCCAAGCCCAAGCGCCCGAATCTCCTTTATGCGCTCCTCAAACTCAGGAACAAGTTCCAGCTCAGACCTACTGTAATCATCAACAACAGCCTCAGTTGGCACGGCATCACCAGCGAGAAGTAGCATCAGCAGAACAACCAGTCCCGTCCGATCTTTGCCTTGCGTGCAATGCACTAGAGTAGGATAGCTCTCTTCACGAGCCAGTAGCTCAAAGACTGCGCGCATCTCTGTCATGCTCGAATCTAGCGTATCTTGGGCTAACCCTGTTAACCCGCGTGGTTGCATCACCTGTCCACATACTAGACGAACTGCATCATTGCGGTAGCCTGTTGTTACCAGGCCGATTGCTTTCCTGCAGAGGTTATTAATATATGCAATCAATCCCATTTCCGTCTTGAGTCTCATATATGACATCAATATGCCAAAAGAATTGACAAGGGGCAGGGAAACATACAGATAAGTCATCCAGTCCAATTTCCATAGTAAGGCGCGCTCGAACCCCTTGCCCGTGAGACTGATCAAGGCACGATCAGAACCAGGGATCTGAAGCAGGTGTTCATCAGGGTTTGTAGGGACAGGAGCATCAGTCAAGTCGATCTCAGATGAGTTGGCATTCTCACTGCGACGTTTCCGCGTCCCCATTTGGTGTTCTGTTCTATATTGAGTTAGTTCGCGTTCACTCTGCTTCTGCTTCTCTTGGAGACACATACGATGACCGGAGGTCGATCACAGTGTGAATGTGTAGCTCTTCGGCTAGACGCCGTTTATCTCGTTCTGATGCATCGTCAAGCTATAACGTCGTCAGAGTCTGTCTCGGAATGTGTACAGCATGTACGTGTCAGAGAGCGGGGTCAATTACCCTTGCGCTGCGAAAGAAGACGCCTTCTTTCAGGATTCTGGACGATGGTCAGTTGAAGAGTTGGACGCGTGTAGAAGTCGCGACTTACTCTTTGCGACAGAATTGATTTACCGATCGGCCAACATCGCGGAAGTTGATGATGTTGTCAAAGGGCCGGTCGGGCGAGTCTAGATCAACACTTGATTGACGGGCCATAGTGAGAGAATTAGAAATTAAACATAAACGTAGAAGTAGAGATAGACATAGACATAGAAGTTAGAATACAAGTTGGTCCGTGGAAAGATGGAGTTGATAAAAGATGTGGAGTAAATGGCGGTGGACGTTGGGCAGCATCGCCTTGGTCGCCTGGACAATGAACTTGCATTTCCGTTTCTTGGGGTTTCATGAGATTCTTAGTTGTGATGGCTATTCTTTTTAATGGGAATTGGAGGTATTGTAACAATGTAGGTTGTTGTAAGTTATAACGTTAGTTATATAAGTTAACCGTTGACAGGAACATAAACTGTTCCTGAGAACCATCAACAACTGCAATGTACTTTTGCACATCAACACCCAACTACACATATGCAGCTCTGCTCTTCCATTGTGGCTGTAAGTACGACCAATCGTGATTGAAGTTGAAGCCAGTCTGATAAGCACCATATGCAACCAGCTCCACCTGACTCAATCTCGCGCCTTGATCGGTCAGCGCCCACAGGCTGATTGCCAATGTGTTCTCACCACGATTGTTGATCACCCCTGGCGGGAATGGGAACCTTGTCTGTGGACCAATGTGCGGCATATAATGACCGAACTGGTATCCATTCATGAAGATCTGGACCACAGCCGGTGTATCGGATGCACCTAGCTGCAGACCAATCGGAACATCCAGGTCGGAGTCAAGGTTCAGCTTGAAGGTCGTCGTATAGAATCGGCCTTCTGCTCCCGACACTCCGTCTAGGGGACTGGACGATGTTGCAGCTTTGGAAGCCTTGTATCCTGGAAGATGCCAGCCCATGCGCTCTCCATAGAGACCTCCTTCGTTCATGGGTCCTCGAACGGGATCAATATTGGCTTCACCTCCTGCGTTGCCTTGGATGTGCCAGGAAGTGAAGTTTGAGCCAGTGAGAGTGGCACCCAGGATGCCACGAGGGTTCTGTGCACCATTGGGTTTCACGTTGGCTTCGTCATGTCCAGTATAATCAGTGACGATGGTCAAGACATTGTCGGTTTCACGAAGAGTAGATTTGCTGAAATCGAGCTCGTCCGATGTAGTTGCGAGAGCAGGATCACCAACAGCTCCTCCGACGTAGGCTCCATTCAGCCAGGCGGCCCAACCAGCAGCAACACCGTTTTGGACCGTGATGTTGGCGCCTGTTGCGGTGGTGCCATCAAATCGGCCGCGGTAGATCTTTGTTCCAGCGTGATAGCCGTAATCCCCAGAGTAAAGCACAGGGAGCGTGAGAGGTGCTACGGAGTTGACCGAGCTTGTCTTGTTGCATACTGTCCAGCGAGAGTCATCATAGTCTGCCTTGATTTCTGGAAGGGTGTCTTGCGCTTTCCAAGACTTCAAGGTTGGCAATGAGATTTTGGCGTTTTCAGCTCCTGAAGCCGAACCGATCAAACTACCATATTTTGTCTTTTTTGTTGAGATTGCCTTGCCGTTCCACTTGATCTTGGTAACCTTTGAATCCCCGGTGTACACCCTAGCCCTGTTAGCAATATGTCTCTTCTCCATAAGAATAGTAACTTACTCGATAGATGTTTTGTTTGCATTATCACCCACAAGGCTGACGGTGTTTCCCTCAACAGACGCTGTGCGAACCAGATAAGGCCCAAGAGCGAGAATCTGCTCACTGGGAGATACCAATGGATTGGAAGTAGTGGGGACGGCGAAGAAGTTCCATGCTGTCTCCTTGTCAAGAAGATAGACTAGCACCCCGTTCGAAAATTTAATCACGGTAGCACCATCTCCTTGAGTATAGGAGTACTGGGTCCCGTGGTCTGATGCACTAGAGCTCACGTTTGAATTGCCATATGTTTGGAAAGTGAGGGCCTGGGTATCTTTGAAAATAAAGATTCCTTTTTGTCCGATGTTTAGGTAGAAGACAATGACATCCACGTCGAGAATGGCATACGTCAAAACCTCGGCTGAGGAGTAGAGAAGACTCGAGGCCTTGCCAATCTGGTAGTCAGTGACTACGATTTTACTTTGACGGCCAGCCAGTTCAATCTCTGGAATAGTGATAGCCCCTACAACGCAAAAGTTAGCACGAATCTTTGATCCAGATTTGAATACATACCGGCCGAGGTGTTGACATTCAACGAAAAGGTAGTCACAGCACGGGACGAGCTGGTAGCATGTGCCAGAACATAGAAGCCAGCCTCGGTTTCCGGGTTCCGCAAGGCCCAAGTATAAATACTTGCATCACTGGTATATCCCGTTCCATTTCCTTCCATCTGGGTCTGAAGAAGATCAGAAGAGACACGAGTGAACAGACCCAACAACTTCGTCTGCTTGAGCTTGTCACGAATCTCACGAGTCTCTCGCAAAGGAGCAGAATAGTCATATGATGTATAAACAACAGGAGCAGCGCTGTGACCCCAGCTAGTGCCACCAAAGACCATGTATAGGTTCTGCAAGGTAACCCTGGAACCGACGTTGTTTTTGTAGTAAACATCCGCAAACTCGGGCGAAAGCTCCGTGGCACATGTATCATAGAAAGACCCGGAGCCCCAAGCCGAAAACCAGCCACCTTCAAACTCGGGTAGATAGCTAGGTTGAGTATAGCTGTAATTGGAAAACCATTGAGCGTAGGTACGAACGAGATTGAACCCCGTGTTTGGATTGGTGCAAGACAAGCCACCGGGATAAGAATCCAGACCGTAGACATTGACAGCACCGCCGACATCCTGGTAATCAGTAGACCAACTCATAGAGCGCATTCCTTTCTCGTTATGTGAGCTCGGGACGACAATGCCGGCCTCATCAAATGCAGCTGCAATTTGCTCCATGTACTTGACAAGGGTATTGTCGGCACTATGGGTGGTCTCTTGCAACTCATTCTCATGTTGATTGAGAATAACCGGGCCACCATTTGTGATCTGGTTTGCCGCGATGATCTTGCCGACCTCCTGGATCCAGGGATACCATAGATTGTAGTAGGCCGTGGCACTGGTGCGCGCACTACCCATCTGGCCATTAGAGGCCCACAGCGCGAAACCACCAGCAGAAGTCTCGGCATTGACATAAGGACCGGCTCTTGCAATAACATACAGACCTGCTTGTTTTGCGTAGTCGAAGACGCGCTGGATGTCATGAGCGCCGTTTTCAAAGTCAAAGGTATCCTTTGACGCAGAGTGGAAAGACCAGAAGAAGTAGACTATAGTCAAGAGATTTTGTCAAAGCGTATCCAATGAAGATTTCATGTTCAAGCCACTTACTTGATACCGCATTAAACCCGTTCGAGCGTAGCTTCTGAAACACATCAAGCCATAGTTCCGGCACGGGGAGTCGCTGGTAATGGAATTCACCGGAGAATATAAACACCCTTTCTCCCTTGATGGAGAGACTGTATTTATCCCAGGTCACGTCGGTAGTCTTGCCATTGTCTGTTGCAAAGACGAAATGACCGGACAAGAGTCCGAGGACGAGTGGGAGAAGCGCGAGGATACGCATTTTTGTGCGCTAAGCAGAGATCCCTCCATTCTTGAGTATTTAATATAAACAGATGCCTCGGTCTTCGTGGTAGCAATACCCCGTGAAGCTGGGATTGGTGGATGTTTAGAAATGAAATGTCTGCATTGGGTAATTTTCCAGGCCACTTGGAGATGCGGGGAATGTCGCATATATTCCGTCTATTTGACACTTTCTCTCTCCAGTTTATAACGAATATGTAGAATGGCTTGCTATGGAGATGTGCTGCATAGTATTGCCGTTCTTTTGGAAGATAATATACGTACAAGAAAGTCAGAAATATCCAGAAAAGCACATAGGAAAAAAAGTAATAACGTTAGACATCAATGATATATACTCCCGACCTAAACCACAAACCAAACATAACTCCGGCCATCCTCCATAGCACCAAGTCTCCAATTTCCGAAAAAAGCGCCATTTTATATTACCCCGAATCCGCCTCCCTCCAAAATAATATTACATCATGGAACATAGACATTATACATAAGAATCACAGATCCTCAGAAAACCTCGACTCCCGGGCAACACTGCCAGTCTCACCCAATGTAGGCGGAGCAGGAAGACCCTGTTCAACAGCACTATTACGCAACCCCTGGATATCAGTACCAGCAGTATCCTTTGACTTAGACGAGGGAGCCTCGGAGCCGCGGCGGGAATCACCAGGACCATTTGTCATGGGCTCATCAGAGCTACGCGAAACGGTCTTGAGGAAAGTCCTGCGGAGACGGCTTGGCTTCTTGCCATTGCCATTTTCTTGTGTTACCGATTCCGGGGAAGAATCTTGAGTTCTGGTCTTGGTCACGTCGACGTCGTTACCGTGGTAGCTGGAAGATCTGTTGTGTACTGGGATGGAGTCCGACCCAACGACAGGGTGCGAGCTGAGGGCAGCTCCGCGAGTCTCGTCTCGGCCGGTCAGGGCAGCACCGCCCTGAAAAGCGGGTTCACTGTCTGTGTTGGAATTTGGCCCGGGCTGATGAGGATAGACAGGGAATGGTCCACTGGAACGGCGGACGAGACGATCACGGAACCAGGTCTTGAGCTTGGAGTCGGCGCGGGGGCTCGAGACCGGACGCTCGAAATGGTGTATCATAGTTGGGCCCGAAGTACTAGCAGCAGCATCTCGCTGTTCAGATTGGAGTGGTGCAGATTGACGCCTGGGTACTGCGGGTGGGACCTCGGTTCCAGTGGTCCTGTCAGCCTCCGTTGTTGAGGCTACTGAGACCGAGGGGGCAGCTGCGGCTAGAGTGCCTGTAGCAGCCGCCACCTCTGGCTCACTAGGGGCCTCCTCGGGGATGGTCTCCTTAGAGACATCGTTATCCGGGGCCACACTAGGTGCTGGCTCCTCCACAGTCTCCTGAGCTACAGGCGACACAGGCTGGGCCTGCTGAGTCTCAGACTCTTCTACACGAGCTCGCTTGCCCTTCTTCCTCCAGAGGAAGAATTTAGGGATCGAAATTTTGCCCTCGGACTTGTTTTCGCGCTTGTTTGTACCTACTTAGGGTGGTGAGAAGATGCTAGGTAAATTGAAGGCAGAGGGACTAACCTTTCTCTTGCTTTTCCAACTCACGGAGCTCAGCTTCGCGTTGGCGTTCAATAGCCGCATGTCTTTGCTTCTCCTCAGCATCAAGGCGGGCCTCCACATCATGAGCCCTGCGCTGTTCGGCATCATCAGTGATCTCATCGAGTGCGGGCTGGAGGCGAGTACGAGCAACAGCTTCGACATCAGCCATATCCATGTACCGTTGACCACCGATGTTAACGCGATCACCTTGCACGGCGGCCAGTTCGGAGGCCTCTGCCTCTCGTCTAACCCGCCCCTGGGCGAGATCATCCCAGTTCTTCTGTACAGAAGGTGGAGCTCGGCCAGTGTTAGCGTAGAACCTCGCCTCCATGTCCTGGAGGGTTGCATCGACATTGCGACGAGCAGCTTGCATGAGCAATTCGCGATCCCTTGTCCTTCGCCCATCCACTTGGTCCATCTTGGTTCGCAGGCTGGACATCTGGTTCCGGATCTGTCTAGACTGTTCTGCATCAATCTGTGAGGCATCTGCGTCACTTGACGTTCTCTTGCGGCGGGTAGTCAGGCGCGATCGTGACGGCTGAGGAGCTGTGCCATAGTACTCCTGATACTCGGCGTTCTCGTCTTGCATGTGCGCGAGCTTCTCGGCAGCTCGCTTTTGCGCCGCGTCCTGCAAGGCAATGGCGCGTCGGAGGGCAGACCCATCCGTACTAGACACAGTCTTGCGGTAGCCCAGCTGACTCTGTCCTTTTTGGGCTGCTAGGACGGCGGCATCCACTCCACCGGTCTCTTCCTTGGCTCCGGTGACTTTATACATGTCCTTTGACATAGAGATCGCCGCAGCGCGCAGGGAGTTTTTGTAGTTTTTCTCCTCGATCTCACTTTGAACAGGTGGGTTCGAGGTATACAGCTTCGCGTTGGTGTTAGCGATACGATGGATCCGGCTTGCTTCGTTGGCATTGTCCAAATGATCAAGGGGAGCGTCGCTTTCCATGCGAACATGGCGCGCAGCCGAACGAGAAACCAGGCCGTCGGATGAAAGGCGCGGCTCACTGGGTACCGAGTCGGCTCTCTGGCGCGACTGGGTATAGGCTCCTGTCGCAGCCTGGAGGGCCTTCGCCTGCGGGTCACCACCGACAGCAGTATGGTGCTGGTCGGCGGAGATGCCGCGCTTGTGAGTGGGTGACTGAGCAGGGCCAGCAGTTCGTTGTTCACCACGGGCGGCGAGCACTGCAGCGCCTAAACCAGCAGCGCTGTACCCTGTTGGGGCCTGAGGTTGCTGGGGAGGGGTGAAGTCTTTCACGCAATACGCGGCCTTTTCGGCAGCCGGCTGTCGGGCAGGGGGTTGCCATACTTCGACCGGTTTGCGGTTCGCATGCGCGAGGGCAGAGGCGGCCGATGCATGGCTGAGGTTGGGAGCTCCACCAGCTCGGGGGTCTACAAAGCGCATCGTTCGTCAGCTTGCGATACGCCTTATCTCCTCTCAAGGGGTGATACTCACTAAAGTACGTATTCGGCGCGGTCGGGGCGCGCATGGACGCCTTGTGTTCGGGATGGGTCACATAGAGGGCAGCTGTCGCGGCTGATTCATAGTTCATCGTTAGCGACTAGTGCCCAGGTGCAGAGATGCAGAGATGTGCAAAGATGTGCAGTCGATCATGTCCTTACCGTCATCTGCTAGCCGAGAGGTCCGAGCAGGCATCGCAGTTGCCATAGTTGTAGACCTTTACAGGATGAAAAGAAAGGAGGAAGGGAATAAAAGCCATTGAACTATGGGTGGGATTTGAGAACCGAAAGCTTCTTCTCGTGACGTCGGTATGTAAAGATCGGGGTTAGCCATTGCATCATCATGAAATTGAGTCGATGGAGCTAAAAAGAACTAGTCCTTCCGCATTCAAACTATGGTGACGTGGGGACTTCGGATTCCCGGGATTTACCAACCCTGATTTACAACCCTGATCTACACACTTTCATGTTCCTGATCTGATCTGATCTGAAGAGTCTCGTGTATTAATTATACTTATTACATTCTATATCGCATTCCAGTAATCGCTCAAAGGTTCCCCCTATCGCAGATGAAGCATTTCGAGGATGTCATGACGCGCAAAGAACGACCGATTCCATTTCCCAAAAATATCTACAGGAGAAAAAAAGTCAGTTCGGTGGAGAAAGATGATCAGATGATAGACTCACACATGGGGATACTCAGTAGGCAGATACCCACTTGGATACTACCGATGATCACCATAGTGTGTTTTATGCCCCCGTGGGCAAACCATTTGTAGGCGTAAAAGGTCAAAACGAAGCTGAACATGTTCTTAAAGACCAGCATGCAGGTGAAGGCCTCGATTGCCATTTCCCCTATATTCAATCAGTATACAGATCCTCGGGAGAAAGACTTTGACATACGATGGGCATCGACAATATAAAGCGACGCAGCAACTGCGCCCATGACCATGCCAATGATCAAGAATGCGAAAAACACGTCTGGCACTATATACCCATAGTGCATGACATCGTTGGCTGTCCACCCGAAGCCGTATATCCCGATGCCACAGAAAATGAGCTGCGGGAGCACCAGCAGGATACGGAACTCCGGTTCGTATTTGCCATGGTTCAGGCGGATCATCAGTTTGTTCGTGGAATCACTGAGCAGTCCAGATAGGAAAAGGCCCACAATAGCACCGATGAACGCGCCCGTGTAGAGGTACCCGGTCTTGTCTTCCTCGAACCACATCGGTGGACCGAGGAACACAATCGCTAGAATGACACCGACAAAGGCTACCCAGCCGATCACGACGCCTTGAATCAGACAGGCCTAGTATCAGTCAGTGCCTGGGCGCGTGAATCTGGACTGGTATACTTACCCAGAAGATCCCTGGATGGAAGAACAGCGGCAATGGACGAAGTAGCAATTTGAAGAAGCTCTCGTCTGTCTTTCGGCCATTGAACAGCCGAAGGGATTTGACAAACGAGTCTCTCTCGGGGATTGGAGCAGGAACCTCTGTTCTCGAAGTCCCACCCAGTTCGTTTCTGTCTTCCGACCTGAGCTCCTTGGTCTCGTCATTCGACGCTCCGCTTATCGAGGTAGACTCGCCTTGGCCATCCTGATGCTTAAAGTCCGTGTTCAGATGATCAGGACGTCGGAAGGCAGTCTCAGGCACAAAGAAGAACGTCAATGGGAACGAAGCTCCTAGGAAGATCGCGACGAAATAGAAAGACCATTGCCATCCCAAGGACTTGGTGATCTTGCCAACCACAACAGGAGTCAAAAAGGCAGCCCCAAAGAGAGAGACATTGGATACGGCCATGCGCTTGCCTCGCTCCTAGCCTCGTTCATCAGTCTCATCTTGATCCAACATCCACAGAACGACTTACATGAACGTAGTATAGATCTCCCACGCAAGCATTGACCAATGCCTCAAAAGGCGCCAATGCAACACCCTGGAAGATCCGTGACCACAGAAGACTATTATGATTCTTCCCACTGGCACCAGCCCAGACACAGCTAACAACCATCAAGATATGCCCAATCAGAAACAGATGGCGTTTACCCCAGACTCGCGCCGTGGGAACGATCAGGATACCCGCCACACCAGTACCGCACAAGTGATACCCCGTCAACAGAGCAGCAGCCGTAAACGTGATATTCTCGTAGTCCGCAATTGTAACGGTATTCGCAGCCAGGATGGAGCTGGTGGTAGTGCACAGAACGGTCACGAATGATAGGATGGCGAGGATGAGGTCGCGTCGCCATAGTGGCCAGTTCTGCTCTGTTGTCAGCCATGAGATCACTTTATGTGATGGCGCGCTGGGTACCTACCAAGGGATCATTGGGATCATCGCTTGGCTGTGGCACGAGGATAACCGGCTGCTTGCCCGACCAGTCGCATTTGAGGCCCGAGGTGCCTGGTGCTAAGTCGCTCGCATTGCTGTTCTGTTCGTAGATATCGGAGGTGCCTGTACAGCTGGGTAAGCATCATACTCGACCCAACCTTGGAAGGGCTATAGAAATCTGACCTGGAACGTGGGCCTGCTTGGTATCCAGTACTCCGAGACCCATTCTCGCAAGCTAGCGACTCTACGCTAGGAGAGGAAAGTCAGAAAGACCAGTTAAGTAGGCCAGGAGGGGAAGTGTGGGAGCTCCGAGGGGAACTAAACCTGGACTTAGGCTTCACAGGCAGGCACCCAGGCCAATAGGGGGCAAGTTCAATACCACGCTATAAGGTGATAAGGTGGGAACTTGCATTCTCCGACTGTGTTCCCAGTTCCCAGTTCCCAGTTCTCAGGTGTTATGGGTATTGGTTCGGCTGAATAGGTCTTAGCCCGAAAGATCTACCTGTTCACCGTACTACACCGTGCAGATACTTCCAATAGTCTGTTATTTCTTTACAGTCTTTCAGTATTTCAGTCTACCCCAGTCCCGTCCCAGACGCGGGGAGAGCTGAGCCAATGGTTGGAGAAGAGATCTGCAGTTTGGGAGTTCTGAACCGAGGCATCACATTCGGGGCTCATTCCAGGTTTCTTCCTATCTTCGGTCGATATGGATATATTTTCCTGGTAAAAGAACCACTTTGCACATGTAGAACAAAGACTCACAGGCTAGAGTATGCAGTGCACCAGTAACCCTAGTTTGTACGGAGTAGAGAAGATCAGGGACTGCGGTCCACTGTGGAGTGAACCCTATACAGTAGCGCTGAGTGGCTTGTATCGCCAGGTATGGAGGCAATAGTGGCCGGGGGTGAGGGATGTGGGAATAGCAGGATCTGACTATGAGTGGATTGGCAAAGAGATATTTATTGTGTGGAAACTAATGCCACGAGTATCAACCACAAACACCACGACAAAAGCAAACGCATACATATGCAAGTGGAAATACAAATACTTCTCAGTTACACATATCCATTGGATCTACAGTGCCTACAGTACAGCCCCTGGCCGGGTCAAACCCCCAAGCTCAGTTTTAAAGCGGGGAGAGCTTGACTTCACCTTTGCATCTCCCCCAATTTAACCATGAAGTTCAACATCATTGCCCTGGCAGCTCTGCTGACCACTGCCGCTGCTCAAGGTCTGGGCGACCTGCCCGATTGCTCGGTATGCACCCATTAAACAGGCAATAAGCGGTCTGCTTACCAGGTTTCCCTCTACAGAAAGAATGTGCCACTGGCGCCATTCCCAAAAGCTGTGGCATTGACTTCAAATGCATCTGTGAGGCCAAGTCCTTCCTGAATGATGTTTCCTGCTGTGTGGCAGACAAGTGCTCCGCGGCAGATCAGGAGAGTAAGTGATCTCGATGGAAGACTCAATGGAACAGACCCAGCTAACATGCTTTAACATCACAGCCACCCTCAAGGTTGCCAAGTCGATCTGTGCTCGTGGCGGTGTGACCGACCTTCCCACCGAGGTGACCTGTTCCAGCAGCAGTTCAAGCTCTGGAACCAAGACTAGCACTGAGGCATCGGCCTCGACCTCGATCTCGACTGGCTCAACTACTGCGTCAGCCTCTGATGCTTCTACCACTAACACTTCCAGCACTAGCTCCGATAGCTCATCTTCTGCTTCTGCCTCCGCTGCCGCGACCAGCACTGGCGCGGCTATGCCTGCTCGCAAGGATTCTGCTCTCATGGCTGCTGCTGGTGCCGCTGCCGCGTTTGCCATCCTTATTTAAAGATGGAGCGATGATGGGTCATGTCGAATGGATATGTGCTATCATTAGCGGTATTCAAAGATTTGATGATGGATGGGGCGACGATGACTTTATTATGGTGTGATGCACCGGTATCTTTTAGTCCACAATGCTGCCAATAATTAACCAAGTTACGCGGTTTCGTGATTCTCGAGCGGGAAGAACATGTCTGATTTCGGTAATACATAGGTAGAAAGGGATATCGATAACCAATGGGGACTCAGAGATCGCGAGTGTCCTCCAACAGCTTGGTCAAGCGTTCCTGGCGCTCCTCGCGGAGAGTAGTAAAGATCTGCAGAACCTATCAGCTGCCGAATATAATATCCCAGGTTGTCAATTGCACTCACCCAGAACCAGAACATCATCTCCACAAAGGCAAAGGTAAAGACCACACGGTTCTTCAATCGGTCTAGGCCACCCAGAGTTGCAGCGGAGGTATAAGACGAGGCCAGAATTTCACCCCTGCCGGTATAAATAAACAGCGCGAGACCAGCGTACACGAAGAACCGACACGCAGCAACGCCAATCCAGACACTCCAGTAGACAGTCAAGGACTTGGTGATATACTCGGGCAGGCTCTGGAGGACCTGCAGGTCCTCGGCGGGGAGGTTACCATTACGCAGAGGACGAATATATGGCAGAGCTTGGTCGAGTGCTTCATGGAAGGGGAGGTTGGATAAGAGGACGAGGTCGATGAGAGCTTCGACGAAGAGGAGCACGGCGCAGAAGGTGAATGGGGATTGTTGCGGGCTAGAAAGGGATGGGAAGTCCTGGAATAGATATGTTAGTATCGAAATTCACTTGAATTGGAGTCCAGTCCAGTCTACTGGAGCTGGAGAGCTAGGATGTTGGTGCCTACAATTTTCAAGGCTTCTCCCATCATAAACACGAAGTCGGAGTCGGTGATCAGCTCTGGGTTTTTCACCAGGTAGCCGGCGACCACAACCAGCAGGATGCCATGCACCTGAATGAGAGTTTTGGAAGAGACGAATACCATGTTGGGCGAGCAATGGCAGAAGAAGTTGGTAAGGGACAGATAGATGTCGAAGACTGGAGTTGGTCCGAGTGTTTGTTCTCGAGGCATGTGGGGAAAAAAGCATCACTTCCCCCACCGCAGCTTAACGATTCGATCTGATTTACGACCGATGCCTCACTGACCAGAGATAGAAGAAGCCCTGATACAGAAGAGCTCCAACTACAATCCTGGACAATGGCCGATCCACTCTTCAACACCGAGCGCCACGTCAAATACTACCTCCGATGCCTAAAGACCTTCCTACCGTCCGCCTACACCTCCAATGACTCCAATCGCATGCTCCTCGGCTACCTAACTCTCTCAGGACTGGACGTCCTCGGTGTCCTGCAAAGCAAAACCACACCGGAAGAGCGACAAGGATACATCGACTGGCTCTACCACTGCCAAGTGCCAACGGGCGGTTTCCGCGGGTTCCCAGGCACTGATTTCGGACCGGACAAGCGAAACAAAGACAATGAAGCTTGGGACCCTGCAAACGTCCCCGCGACGTTCTTTGCGCTGGTCAACTTACTCATTCTGGGGGATGACCTGTCGCGTGTCAAGCGCCGGGAGTGTCTCGAGTGGCTTCCCAAGGTGCAGCGCGCGGACGGAAGCTTTGGGGAGCTTGTTGGTCCTGATGGGGGTGTAGGGGGAGCTCGCGATTTGAGATATTGCTGCTGCGCGACTGGAGTGCGGTATATCTTGCGTGGACGAATTGGAGCTGGGCTTGAGGATGTGCCGGATATTGATGTGCCGGGGTTGGTCTTTTTTATTGAGGCGTGTCAGGTAAATTGCAGCTTTCTGGGCTGGTTCGATGTGAGGTACTGATGCGCATGGACTAGACGTACGACGGTGGCATGGCCGAGTCTCCTTTCTGCGAATCGCATAGTTCGTGTCCTCCTCTCTGCTACGTTCGACCTTTCTAACTGAGTACTTAGGTGGACATACATATTGCGCAATTGGGTCGTTGGACTTCTTAAGCCGCACATCTCCTGATCTTAAATCAGTACCGCTACTATCAGCCGGATCTGACAAGTTTGAGTCTTTGATTGCATGGCTGGCCTCAAGGCAGACGGTTCAACTGGAAGATGAGAATGAAGATGACTCCGAGAATGAGGCACCCAAGGCCACTGAGGGAGGATCTCTCGACGATAGAGTTCAAGGGCTGCCCAATATCGAATCACTGGAGGCCGACACAATATCATGCGCCGGATTCAACGGCCGATGCAATAAATTTGCCGACACCTGTTATTCATTTTGGAATGGAGCGACACTGATGGTATGTTTTCCTATGAACTCCCAGCTCTTGGGCTTTTACTGACACCACATTCAGATGCTGGATCATTATTCTGTGATTGACGAAGTTCGCAACCGTCGATACTTGCTCGAAAAGACCCAGCATCTCGTTGGTGGATTTGGAAAAGGGCCCGGGGATCCTCCAGGTAAGGCTAAACGACCTACATAAAGACCTCGCTGACCAAACAGATCTGCTTCACTCATATTTTGGCATGGTTTCCCTGGCTTTCCAGGGCGAAGCAGGCCTCAACCCCGTCGATCCGACGATGGGCGCCAGTAAACGTACAGTTCAACATCTTGAATCGCTGCCTTGGTGGCAATAGAAGTATATAACACCATATGACGTTGGTTTCAGCCATTCATTGACTGGCCTATGTCAGTGGATATGGGCCAATAGGTGCAGCCGACTAAATTAATCGGGCGTAGGCGTACATGTACAGCTACGTAAGTAACATAAGGGATCTGTGAACAGATGAGAAAGAAAGTTAGGCCGTATATCCAAGGATGATCTTCCCTGATTTTAGTTGTTTTTAGCTCGAAGAAAGTTGGAAAAAAAAAAAAAAAAAAAAAAAAAAACAAAAAAAAAAAAATAGATGGGGTTCGGGAGTCGGGAGTCAGGATAGGGGTGATATAACTGAAGTACACTAACGGAGTACACTAAGTACAATTGCATAGAAGACGCTTGAAGACTAAAAAAGGAGACGTTCGAGTCCCGAGTCCCCACACAGGTCCACGTTCCCGTTGACGTCTTGGAAACTCAGTATTGAATCCTTAACAACTTCTCGACCTTTTTCCAGCCTCTCCCCCCTTTCATACCCACACCTTCCGTGTCCCGTTGAATGGCAACACCCGGCCCTCCGACCACTTCCATCCGGTCACCCTTGACGCGCAGAGACTTCCGCGATTGACACGACCTGGCAATTACACATGCCGCCCCGAACGAGAGCGGGGGTTCAAAGCCAGAAACAAAAGGAAAAGGTGAGGATGCACAGCTCCGCAGCTCTCCCGCACTTTGCGGCCTTGCGGAGGAGCGTTGCGCGGAGTCCATGAACGTGTGGCTAACAGTCGGATCTCAACTACAGCTTGCGAGCTCCTACAATGAACTTCTCGAGTAAGCGGTGCCTTCGGTCCAGGTCTCGGTGGGATTTGCGCTAACACGATGCGTCTACAGGGAGTTCTCGTCCAAGGATCTCCGGAGTGTAGGCAACTATACACTGGGGAGACTCATTGGAAAGGGGTCCTTTGGCAAGGTCTATCTTGCGTCACACAAGCTCACCAATGGCTCCAAGGTATGATTTGGAAGAGCAAGATCGCCGGGAAATGCTGATCAGTCGATAGGTGGTGCTCAAGTCCTCCAGCAAGGAGGACACCAACCTCGTGCGCGAGATCCATCACCATCGCCAATTCCTCCACCCCCATATTGCGCGGCTATACGAAGTGGTGGTGACTGAGAGCCTGGTCTGGCTAGTGCTTGAATATTGTCCTGGTAGGTCGTGTGCTTGACAGAAGGGGCTTAGGGGAAAGAGCTATACTGACGGGGGACTGTTTAGGTGACGAACTCTATAATTACCTCCTTCGCCACGGCCCGTTACCGGTAGAGAAAGTGAAGCGGATCTTCACGCAGTTGGTGGGAGCCGTTGCGTATGTCCACAGCAAGTCCTGTGTTCATCGTGATCTTAAGTTGGAGAACATCCTTTTGGACAAGCAAGAAAATGTGAAGCTGTGTGATTTTGGATTTACGCGTGAATATGAAGGAAAGGCCAGCTATTTGCAGACCTTTTGTGGGACGATATGCTACAGTGCACCCGAGATGCTCAAGGGAGAGAAATATGCTGGCGAGAAGGTGGATGTTTGGAGCTTGGGAATCATCCTCTATGCGCTGCTTGCTGGCGAGCTACCATACGATGATGATGACGACCAAGTCACAAAAGGGCGGATTTTGGCAGAGGAGCCCACTTACAATGACAAGTTTCCAGATGATGCCAAGGCATTGATCAACCTGCTCCTATCAAAACGGCCATTGATTCGGCCAAGTCTAGATGAGATACTTGCGCATCCTTTTCTCTCGGAACATGCCCCTGAACAGCTTGCCATATTGAAAATTCCAAGGCCGTCACCATTCACCACGCCGCTGGAGAAAACCACCTTGCAGCGGATGAAGAGTGCCGGTGTCAACATCGACGAAGTTATTGAGAATGTTCTGGCTCAGCGGTGTGACCCACTGGCTGGATGGTGGGCGCTGCTGATTGAGAAAGAGCAGCGCAAGGAACGAAAGAGGGAACGCAAGCGACGCGAGCGGGAGGTCGAGGCTAAGAACCTGCGTCGTCTTAGCGCTGCTAGCAGTCGTCTAGAGAAGCGGTCATCGGCTTTGATGGACGTCGAAGAGGAAGGTCAGGCAAACTTGGGATTGCGTGAACGTGGAAGACGGGACAGACGAAGCTTACCATCGCAACTGGCAGTTCCGGAACTTCCTGCGCTTCCTGAACCGCTGCCGGTGTTTCCACCCGAGGCGACTACACCACCGTTGCCCATTGATAAAGATTCCATACGATCCCACGGCTCCTCACGACGCCGCCCAGTTCCCCCGCCCAAAGACCGACGTCGATCGCGGCCCAGCATGCTGCATGTTAGTGCATCACAACCCGAGTTGACACAGCACCATGGTATCTTCCGACGTCGTACCAGTCGCCGCCATCAGTATCCGATTCTCAGCCAGCTGGCCTCTCTTAAGCACTGGTTTGTGGAATCAGCAAAACGAGCACGGTCTCCGCATGCTAAATCAAGCAACCCCCGCAAACTGTTTTCCGAAAAGTCGAGTCCGGCGAAAAGTCAGGACACTGGGAAAAAACCGGCGACTTTGTCGTCCCCGGCAAGTGAAATCCCGGGGGAAGAAGTGGTGACACCAACCCAGGTCAAACGAATCTCCGGTGCCAGCAGTCTCGCTCCCAGCAGTGCTTCATACCGCCAGAACCGACACTCCTACCCTCGCCAGCCGCGTCCATTGAATACGGGTCACTCCAGTCATCGCAACTCTCTTTCGCCTTCCCCCATCACACCACGCGGCTCCTATAGACGTTCATCCGCCGGGCTACGAGGACGCAAATCCACGTCGTCCTCGGTGTCCTCAATTCGCAGCATTCACCATACTCGCGCTCACTCCAAGGCATCATCAATTTCCTCTAATAGCGTGGATACAGTATCAACACCAACTGCCAGAGCCTCTAAATCACCCCACTCCTCTATCAAAGTTCTGCCTACCACACCAGGTGCCTCTGCTCGTTTCCCAAGCAATATTCGATTGGTAAGAGGACCGGGTGGAGCACCTCGAGAACTAGCCGATCACGGTCAAATGCCCTCGGCGTTCAATGAGGTCGCACCGTCACCACTATTATACTCGCCCTCGTCCAGCCTGGTGTTTGCGCGACGCAAGAGATCTGCGTTCAAGGGCCCTATGATCCACACAAGTAATTTGATGGGCGGTGGAATGGCCAACTCACCCGTTCCTGGCCAGTCAGTAAACACCAGCGAGCCTAGCATCACGGCAGGTCGGCCTGTTGCACGCAAGAGCCAAATCATCGAAGAAGAGGAAGATGTGGATAGAATCGAGGAAGACGTCGAAGAAGTCGATGGCGATGGGTTTGTCACTGATCCTGGCACGCCAGGCGATGCGGTCAGTCCCTATGACCATCTCGAACACGCCACCCCGAGAGTCTCAATCGACCGGGAGGCTGGATCTCCCTCGGGTGAAAAATCGCCGCTTGCCCCTACGCCGGGTCTTGAAAACAGTCCGCTTCGGCCTCCTCGCTCGTCTTCTTTGCGTTCGCCAACCGACGTCGCAGAGGACAAGCTAGGGACAGCCGAGTGACCGGTTCTCGACTCGACAGCTTTCTCTCCATGACAGTTGCTTTGCTTTGCATTACATGCGAGCGTTTCTCGCGTTCATACCACGATATCTCATTTCTATGTTCGGTTAGACGATAGATCTTTTATACCCCCACTTACACAGCGTTCCCTGCGTTTCCATTTCCTTCAATTGATCCATCGACACCTCATTGGACCTTATCCAATGAAGTGTCCTGCCCTCTCTTGTTCACCTTTCTTTGTTGTCTCCTACTTCACGAAGCGCCTGCCTGTCCTCTGTTCTATCGAGATTTCTTATAGTCTTCACGACTCGACACTCGCTTGAACACCATGCTCTCTGATTATACATCATTCCTGTTTATCCCATAGATACTGTTTATCCTGATCTTTTCGGTCAGTTTTATATCATCGCCAGACTTGCATGATGATATTGCATATATGAATAGCAATCCCTGATGTATAGCCGAAAAGATCTCCACATGCCAAGAGGTTCGGGTGGAGTTGCCGCATCTGAGAGGCACACAAGGTAAAACGGTTAGTACTTCTAACCACTACCCGAATACATACGTATACTCTATATAACATGGAGTCTCTGGAATTAGTTAGTAAATCCCTTGACATCTTGAGACCCCATTGAATCCTGAAAGGTTTAGTCAGCAATCAGGTCATCTGAGACATTACAACTAGAGAGAGTGTCTCTGGATAAGTATCTCGTGTCTCATAAGATCATTTATTATCCCTCTATAAATAGAAGTCTTAAGCAAGTGAAGCAAGTCCCAAGCATCCACTGGGAAGCTCTTCAAGGGCAACATGACCTACCGCTCCACATGAACGGCCTCGTGCTTCTCATCAACAGCTGTAGACGCCTCGTGAGTACCCATAACAGCCTCCTCATCTTTGCTATCCGGACCCTCAAGGCCAAGTGTGCTCTCGCCAACTTTGTCGACCGTGCTAACATACGAAGGAACGAAGTTGACCGCGACGGCGTAGGTCCAGGCGACGACCATGAACTGGGATTATTGTTAGCAATGAGCCAAATAGTAGTAGAATAGGAAGCCATACCATAGTCGGAACGATAAATGCAAACCCAGTATCATTGCGCATATCAGCAACATGACCCAGAATCGGAGGCACAATAGCACCACCACAAACACCACCGACGAGGAATCCAGAGCCACGCTTATAATGGCGTCCAAGGCCGCGAATACCCAGGGCCATGATCGTAGGGAAGCAGACGGACTCGAAGAAGAGTGTTAGGAAGAGCATGGCTGTAGTTCAAGATTAGTATCAAATTGCATCAACCGATAGCCTGTTGAGACAAGCACTTACCAATACCGGACTGCTTCGTCTGTGTCACCGAAGCTGCGAGGAACGCTACCGTACATGACAGATAAACCAGGAAGACCCAGCGAGCCTTGACATACTTCATAATACCCGAACCGAGGAACCGACCAACTGCAAAAGCACCCTGCGCTCCGGCGAGGTACTTAGCAGCAGTGGCATTGGATGTACCCGGCCAGGTCTCGGTGGCATAGTTGATGAAGTAACCGGCGATGGCGACTGAAGTATGGGTCAGAATACGAAACAACGAAAGAACACAATGAATAGGAAGGAGTTATAAACCCGAGCAACATACCCTGCGCTCCAGTATAAGTAAACTGCGAAAGTGTTGCATGGAACAGCTTATAATGCTTCCAGAACGGCTTATCCTGCTCATCGACATGAGTCTGCGCAACCTGGAAAGCCATATCCTCATCGGTGACCTCAGGAATATTCGAAACGAAAAACACAGCCGCAAGGCAGAATACAAAGATTCCAATGGCCAGGTAGACCCATTGCACGCGCTGCAGAGCGGCGACATCATCCGAAGTTTCAGTGAAGAAAGCATAAGAGCCTAGCACAGGGCCAACGACAGTCCCAATTGCATTAAAGGCCTGGGCGAAGTTGATTCGAATCTCAGAGTAGCGGGGCGGACCGCAGACTAAACAGAACAAGTAAACATGATTAGCACCAGTCTTTTTTCAGACTGTTTGTGGCGTTGCCATCTCACCCGTTAGATATGGATTGGCGGCCGTCTCCAGTGAGCCTAGTCCCGACCCAATGACAAAGGTTGCACCGCAGAAGCCGCCGAAGGATTGGTGAAGACCTGCCGGCCACATGCATAGAGCGCCTATGCCATAGAGAACCAGACCGAAGATGAAGACGGTTTTGTAGCCATAGTGGCGGAGGATCCAGTTTGCGTAGCCGAGAGAGGCTAGGGGATATGCGCTGGGGTTGTTAGTTGAACTGACGTCGGGTGGAATATGTTGACATACCCAAAGTAGGCTGCTTGGAGGCCGGAAGAACGTCCTCGGTCAATGTGGAGGGTGTTTTGGAAGTGTTTGTTCAAGGTATCCAGTAATCCATAGGCGAATCCCTACTGGAGATTAGTCTAGTCCATCGATTATGCTTGTCATAGCCACATACCCACAAAAAGAACAGAATCGTCACTAGTGTTAGCGGCCACAAACTCTGGCGTAGAGTCAACGTTGCCGCCGAGGTAGTCTTTTTGTTGTCAATGCGCAAGCCAGAACGGCTCTTCATAAACTCCTTGAAGCCCATGACGAGTAGCCGACGATCAGATGGAAACAGAAAAGAAAAAGACGATGCCAAACAAGGGTCATCACGCGGTATTTGAACAAACAAGGCCATGTAACATCCATCCTCTGCTCCGCAACTCCACACTTTCCCCAGTCCGGGGAAGCCAAGTGGTGATCCCTGGGGTAAGTCGACTTCGACCACTCAAGTACGCGGAGTTGCCCCCATACTTCAACTTCAAGTTCATCCCCGCTTCAAAACACGGGATGGAAGTGGCTGTGGCGTCAGTGTTGCATTGTTTTCAGCCTGAATGCGGGTTATCATTCCGGTGGCGCTCGGGTGATTGTCTCCCGCGTACTTTTATACTCCGACATCTAAGCATTTGGTGCCTTGGCCCTGAGTTTTGATCTTACATGAGCTAGTATATAGTAAGGTGTCCAGCTAACCCTGGAAGCTATTCAACATAGCCCTACGAGATTGATCTGGCTACCGCGATCCAAGGTTATCACAATCACGCGCGTGTCTAAACTTGGAGCAACATTGTCGAGAAGGTTTAATTAAAAGAAAGGTCGGAGGTTCTGTATGGCTGTGAAGGAAATGAAATGGATATTTAGGGACCGTCCTGGGTGTCACGATGGCACCCTGAAGGTTAAACATCCTGCCGGGATAGGGGATAAGATTTCAGCGATGTAAAGAAGTGAATACACTACACTACGTCTTTGGCTTCTCCCATTTCCAGGGGACTGGAGAGTTGCTGGAACATCAGGCGCTACTAGGACAGAGCTTCAATCCGACATTCACACGGTTCAATAAATGATTAACCGCTCGAGTTGGAAGCAAAGAGAAAAGAACAGAAAACGTTGTAACTATCGTTACATGCTCGATCTTTCATTTCAGGGTCTTTCTATGGGCATGATAGCATGTCATAAGTGGCACATCTATCTCTATTCACACTCTCTAGCACGGGCCAAAGAACCCCGGGAGAAAAGATGGTATTTATCCTCCTGTATATCTTTCCTTTAAGCCCGCTTGGGCTTACCGGCGGCGCCGTTAGCGGCCGGAGAGACGGAAACACGGGTGTTGTAGAGGCAACGCTCAGCGAACTTGAGGATCTCATCAATCAGACTGGTTTAGGGAGTTAGCAATGGCTCTTTCGAACATTGAAGAGACTGTCACTCACATAACTGGCGCACTGATGACCAAGACTGCCTGCCATTCGGTCCAGTTCAGGGGCAGAATTGAGAACAGATTCTGAAGGAAAGGAATGTAGAGAATGGCAAAGTGAAGGGCCATGGACAGAGTGATGGCGTAGACCAGCATGGGGTTGTTGCCCAGGAAGAAAGTCAGGAGAGACTCGCTGGAGGACAGGGCATTCATGGCGTTCAGCATCTCAATCACCACAAGGATGGAAAGAGAGACGGTGGATGCAGACTTGGCCATGTCGTTGCTGAACATGTCGCAACCAATCTCGGGGAATTGAGCAGAGCACTTGTGGAAGTGGGACTAGGAATTTGTTAGACACACAAGACGAATATCTGGAATATGGAAACTTACCAACTGCCAGAAAGTGATGTTGGGACCCTCGGGGTTGTAGATAAACCACCAGACGTAACCAAACACGGTGGCAGCGCCGACATAAATACCGATAACCATGTAGCGGAACAACAACCAACCGCCGACGAGAGCCTCGTCACGGCGGCGGGGAGGGCGCTTCATAACGTCATGGTCCGGAGGGTTGAAAGACAGAGCAGTGGCGGGAAGACCATCGGTGACAAGGTTAACCCACAAGAGCTGGACAGGAACCAGAGCCTCTGGCATGCCCAGAGCAGCAGTCAAGAAGATAGACACGACCTCTCCGATGTTGGATGAGATTAGGTAGCGGATGAACTGTTGAGTGTTGCTGTAGATTGAGCGACCTTCCTCGACGGCAACGGTAATGGTAGCGAAGTTGTCATCCGCGAGAACCATATCGGCAGCCATCTTAGCAACATCAGTTCCAGTACCCATGGCGACACCAATGTCGGACTTCTTCAGAGCGGGGGCGTCGTTGACACCATCACCGGTCATGGCAACGACATGGTTCATAGATTGGAGGATATCAACCAGCTTGGACTTGTGGCTAGGCTCAGTACGGGAGAAAAGCGAGGCAGTCTGAACAGCCTTCATCTGTTCGCCTGCGCTGAGGTTATCGAATTCGCGACCAGTGTAGCTCTTGCCAGTAAGATCCTCGTTAGCACCAAACACACCAATGGCGCGGCAGATTGACTCGGCGGTGTTTGGGTTGTCACCAGTGATAACAATAACACGGATTCCGGCGGCGTGACACTTCTTGATAGAATCGGCAACCTCAGGACGAGGGGGGTCCAACATTCCAACTAGACCAACGAGAGTCATATCCTGTTCCAGCTTGGCGTAGTCCTCGGTAGTGGAGGCGTTCTTCAAAAGAGGATTACCAAAGACACCACTGACATTCGCAATGGCCATGACACGGAGACCGCGGTTACCGTACTCAACCACCTCCTCGCTGAGAAGCTTCAAGTGGTCCTTGGTCATAGGGACACGAGTTCCGTCGGCGCCTCGAAGGACGTGAGTGCAGCGTTCGAAGATAGTTTCGGGGGCACCCTTAACCAGCAATTTCTGATCCTTGCCCTCGCCAACAAGAACGGACATGCTCTTACGGTCGCGAGAGAACTCATAGGTAGCCTTGAGAGGAAGACGGGACTCGTAGTGAGCACTAGCGGCATGTATTCTCTCAGACGCAGGGAGGCGGTAGAGCTTCTGGTTCAGGGCAGTGTCGGTGGATCCAATCTTCTCGACCAGGACACGAAGAGCTCCCTCGGTGGGCTCACCGATACTAGAGAAGACTCCGGTCTTGGGGTCATGGGAAAGAGTAGCAGCGTTGCAAATGGCAGTGACCTCGGCCAATTGTTCGATAGTCGAAGAAGAGACAGCCAAGTTTTCGACGACCTTGCCATTCTGAGAGAGCTTGCCCTCGGGCGTGAAAGTGGTACCTTCGACATCAATTTCCTCAAAGCCGTTGCCGGAGCTGGACAGGTAGACCATCTTCTCCACGCTCATCTGGTTGGTGGTCAATGTTCCAGTTTTGTCAGAGCAGATAACGCTGCAGCTACCAAGGGTTTCAACAGATGGAAGAGACCGGACAACGGCATTCTTCTGGGCCATCTTACGAGTACCAAGAGCCAGACAGGTGGTGATAACCACTGCCAGACCCTCTGGAATAGCTGCCACACCAAGGGAGACAGCAATCTTCAGGTAGTAGATAGCACCCTTGGTCCAGCCACCGAAAGCGGGATCGTTGAAGTTCTCATAGTTGATAACCCAAACCAGGACACAAATGACGGTAATAACCTTGGCCAGCATGTCACCGAAGTCGTTCAGCTTCTGCTTCAGGGGGGTCGGCTCAGAGATTTGAGAAGTAATGCTTTCGTGAATGTCTCCAATAGCAGTCGAGCCACCAGTCAAGACTACAAGGGCAGTAGCATGGCCATTTACCACGGTAGTACCAGAGAAGAGCATGTTGACCTGGTCCTGTTTGACAGCTTGCTGGTCCTTAATAGCCTTGGTCTCCTTGCCAACACTCTCGCTCTCACCAGTCAGAATAGCCTGGTCAACACGGAAGCTGTTGCTATGGATAGCGAGCAGTCGGCAGTCAGCGGGAACACGGTCACCCACGGCGATCTGGATCACGTCTCCCGGGACCAAGTCCTCGGCCTTGACACGGCGAGCCTTTCCATCACGAACGACCTTGGCCTCATTGGCCGAGTATTCCTGAAGAGCCGAGATTGCCTTCTCCGCGCTGCTTTCCTGGGTGACTCCGACGACGGCATTGAGAATAAGGATAGTGAGGATCTGTAGGTTTGCCAACTAGTCAGCACGACTGATCAAGTCAGAATATAGACAACAGATCACGTACAACGATAGGGTCCACGAATGCAGTCCAATCATCGCCCTCTTCGAAGAGAGCGAGCACAAACGACACGGCGGCCGAACCAAGGAGGATAAGGACAAGCTGATCCTTGAATTGCTCCAAAATCAGCTCCCACATAGGGGTTGGGGGTTCTTCGGCAAGTGCTAAATAAAGCGTCAGGTCAATGCTTCTCTGGGGTCGGTGTGGATGTGGACTCACCGTTAGGCCCATATTGCTTTCTGGATTCCGCGACCGCATCTTGGGACAGACCAGTTTGCTCGGTCACCTTGAAGTACTCCAGCGATTCCGCTGGAGTGCGGAGAAATGCATTCTCCATAATGGCTAAGCTCAACGGCAGAAACGTTCAGGAAAATGTAAACAAGAGAAAAGAAATGGGAGACCTGTTTAGATTAGATACATAGGGTGTGTGCAACCCAAATAGATGAAGCCGGAGAAAGAGAAAGAAAAGAGCGAAGAGTGCCAGGAAATAGATCGAAAACCGAATGGGGAACCTCCAGTGGTCCAGTGGGGGACGAGGCACAACGTGTTCTCATTGCTTCCAGGTGCTGAGTAAGCTGCCAGGGGTCACAGGGCTGCAGGGCTGAAGTGCGGGTCAACTGCAATTTCTCCGCTTTGCTGCTCTTTTTCCCGCTGGACTTTGATTGATATAACTCTGTATATAATCCATTTCTATACCAGAAGCTGTGTTCTCTATTCTCTCCCCTTCTAGGTTCTCCCCCAAAGAGCATCGTGGCACTATAGCGTCATGGATACCATTTCCCAGCTTGCCTGCTCACACTTGAAATGACTTATGGGGGCGTCACTAGGCTGCATCGTTCTTTGCCTATCGGATGGTCAATTGTGGGTAATCTCTCTCCTTGGCGGCTTGGTGCTTGGAAGGTCTGAAAAGGACACCGCTGTCTAAAATGGGTATCCGATCTTCTAAATCGAGCCGGTCAACTCTCAACTGGAAGACTGCTTTGCCCTCTGACTGGGCTTTCGACTCTCTTGACGTCTGTACCTGTATCCCTTTCGGAGGCTGTGTGATCAGGAGGGTGGCAGTCCTCGGATAAAGATTGAATCAGACAGAACCATCTAAGTCCACTTGCCGTTGGGCTTGCTTTGTTACCAGGGTAGAGATCATCGAGGCTAAGGCACAGCCTTATGCTAGACGCGCAACCTATAGGAGTCAGCATGAGATCCCCTTGCCTATAAGGCTGAAGCTAAAAGAGCCCACTGTTGCATCATTGGGATCATTGATCAATGATCTCACTCTCGCCCCTCGGAAGACTCTGATTTAAAACACATGGCACACATGGTACAGTACATGTCTACATGTACTGTAGTCCCCGCTCTGTGTGGCCAACCTCCTTACTTTCCCTCTTTTCTCCCTGTAGATGCAGACTCATCTTTCACGCCTAAATCTAGGAAATGAAGGATGAATGAATTGGGCAACAGATTACCTCTTTGATCTGTCCTAACGAGATTGCAAATCCCAAAGTAAAGTCCCAAATTATGCTTAACGTTATTTTAATGAAAACACATGTTGCCTGTGCTGGTTAGTTGCTCAAGCTAGAGTGCATTCGTACTCAGCCTAGACTAGTCTTTGGTTTTTGGCACCAAAGCTTGACAGACGTTCATTTTCAATTTTGTGCTCCTGTTATAGGCCCAAACGCAGTAAACATGATCCCTAACACCTACCTAGGTAGACAGTAGTGCTTGATAGCCTATCCAGTCAGGGAAATCTCGGACTTATTCTTGAGTAGCTAACCTATTAAAGTCGATTGTACAGTGTGTATAGACTGTATACATTATAATAATTCATTTCTCAACTCCAACTTCTAAATCGTTATGTTTGCCGATACCTGTGATACATGTGATGTCGGTGTGCGGCTGATCAACTACATCATACAGGTACAGTGTCTGGAAGGTTCCAAAGGTACTTGCATCATCATCCCCAGACCTTGTCTCATTTGCGATATACTCATTTGACTATCTACCTATGTAGGTACTGTTGATGCTTAACGTTATATCTCAAAGATATCTAGATAGACAACTGACAGGATTGTGGTCATGTACTTTCAACTGATCCTCGGTGACAGTACCGGGATCTGGTACCAGGTACTTGGGTTGTGACAACATTCACCAGGCAAATATCATATTGTAGATTCATATATACCTTATACATCTCTGCCTCAAGTCCATTGGTAGTTAACTATGAAGGCAGTCTACAAGGCAGTCTACAATTAAGTCAGCATTGTATCATGTACTGTCATGTATACCTCTCCCCGCCAAATAAATTACTGGGTAGGGGGGATCAGCAGTAAACTCAATACTGGGCCGCAGCACAAGTACCCGTACCTCCACTAACTAGTGTCACATTACGTGACACTAAGTACCTAGTACAAGCTAACGGCGTATTATTGTTATGATTCAAATGCCCCCAAACTCCCTTCACCTTTTGGACTCCATCTCCTCCCCCCACTTGGTCCTCTTTACCCATCTTCTCCTTCTGCATTTCGCGTTCCCCTATCTCTTATTTAAATCTCCCACTCCAACACTCCATTCGATTTTCACTATGGGTTCTGAGGTAAGATGCTGTTTCCCCCACTTCCATCGGCCCCTCTTGCGTTGTCACCGCCATCGCAATCCCACATTCCCTTAAACTCCCCATCTGGAATTTCTGTCGATAAGAACTGGGCTAACATCTCTACAATGCAGCGTGAGAAGTAAGATCGCTATCGCCGTCTCCTATCCTGTTGCCCAACATAGCTGACCCCTCACCAGCAAGACGTTCCTCGCGAGGCTCTGCGAGCAGGCCGAGCGCTACGATGGTAAGTTGGCTCGTGATGGCGAGGTTGAACGCGTACACTGACGTGTCACTTTTTGCTTTACAGAAATGGTCACCTACATGAAGGTTAGTCGCAACTCCTTGTGTTGTTTACTGTCGGGGAACCCACGCTAACCGCCCAACAGGAAGTCGCCAACGTATGACACGGTTTCCCCATAACCTTCCGGATCGCCTGAATTTAAGCCATTAACATATATATAGATTGGCGGCGAGCTTACTGTTGATGAGCGTAACCTCCTTTCCGTTGCCTACAAGAACGTGGTCGGCACCCGCCGTGCGTCCTGGCGCATCATCTCCTCCATTGAGCAGAAGGAGGAGAACAAGGGCTCCGACGAGCACGTCGGCATCATCCGTGATTACCGCCAGAAGATTGAGACCGAGCTTGAGCAGGTCTGCCAGGATGTCCTTGACGTCCTCGACCAGGCTCTCATCCCCAAGGCCGAGACTGGCGAGTCGAAGGTCTTCTACTACAAGATGTGCGTCAACCCAAACCGATCATCAGACTTTGAGACAATTCAACTAATCTGTCAACAGGAAGGGTGACTACCACCGTTACCTTGCTGAGTTCGCTTCCGGCCCCAAGCGCAAGGGTGCTGCCACTGCTGCCCACGAGGCTTACAAGGTATTTACCCTCTCTTGCCTTGCTTGTTACAGTCAATCTCTCTCTTCTTAGACACTTGCTAATCGCACAACAGAATGCCACCGATGTTGCCCAAACCGAACTCACCCCTACTCACCCCATCCGCCTGGGTCTCGCCCTGAACTTCTCCGTCTTCTACTACGAGATTCTCAACTCCCCGGATCGTGCATGCCACCTCGCCAAGCAGGCCTTCGATGACGCTATTGCAGAGCTCGACTCCCTCTCCGAGGAAAGCTACCGCGACAGCACCCTGATCATGCAGCTGCTGCGCGACAACCTCACCCTCTGGACCTCATCTGACGGCAACGAGGGCGAGGGTGCCAAGGAGGACAAGCCTGAGGAGGAGGCTCCTGCCGCTGCTGCCACTGAGGGCGCTGCTCCCGCTGAGGAGAAGCCCGAGGAGGCTAAGCCCACGGAGGCTGAGGCTTAAAGGAGCATTATGTATGCCGATTGCTAGGGTGGGCGTTCGCATTTTTCCCTGGACGTGGTCACGCAAGTCGCTTCTTTGATTTCATTGCAACGCTGGGTTGGACCGGCAGATATCTTGCACGTGTTCGGGGACCGTGTGGGTCGGCCGGCGGAGTTTGATATTCGGTTGACGCGAGCGAAGAAAAGGGGCTGAGTGGAAGTTCTCTCTCTTTTATTGTCTCCTATTCCCACTCCAGCACGATTAAATGTGTTTGTTTTCCAATTCCACTCGGATCTCTTCCCCCAAGTTGCATCCTGTATTAGGCTTGCGTAGCCAATGATTTCTCTCTTAACATTCCTTGAAGCATATTGAAGTAGAGTGCCGTAGTTAAGACACGGGCTTGTCAATTCCGCCATCTGCCTGACTAGAGTCTATAGCAAACATGCAATCTACAATGGGTTTCGGTCTGGAGGGCCTCCGAACCCCAGGGACGCACCATAAACACACCACTCGCCAGGCAAGGCCTCAACTTCCAAAGTGAGACACCCCACGCACAGTTAAAGACCCCTAAGCAGCGCCATCCAAAAAGCCATGTCGTCAAGAGCCAAAGATGCAAAACCCATCACCTCGGGGCCCAGGATCGAACAAGCGCTTTGTCGGCGTCGACGGCCGGACGAGACACCCTCAAAGAAAATGAGGCTCCAACACACCCAAATTCGCTATCCTCTCCCTCCTCAACGGACTCACCGAGTACGCATTCTTCTCACGAACCAGCGGACCAATCGAAGCCGTCCGGGTCGAGCGCCACGGAGGCGCGCACAACCTTGGAAGCTACTGGGTATGACAACTGAACAGGGGGACGGTATGCATGCTGCAACTTGCTCCGCAGAGTGATAGCAGCGGGGAAGCGCCACGAGGTGCAAAATGGGATGGTTGGCGAATTGTGGCCCTAGTTATTGGTGCGCGATGTTGATTGGTTTTATTTCTGAGATGTGTATAGCTGTACAGCTTCTTTGTGGTATTGGTTGGCGTGGAAGTCTATTGCAGTTAGGATTTCATTCTTTTTTCCTTGACATCGGTGTAAGTTGTCGTTGGAGTGTCTTAGTATCGTTTATATGGAGTTCATCGGGGTTGCATCCGACAGGGAAGTATAGACAGCAACGCAAGCTCAAGTCCTATAAGAACTATACACATCATAAGGTTCCATCGGAAGAACTCCTGGTCTAAGAGAACATGGCTCAAGTTATTGGCAATATCATCAGTCACATACCAAATCCACCTACCACTGGACTTCCTACTCATCCAATACATCCTATTGATAGAAGACAAACATAGAAGAAGGGTATGTATAGGCGAAACGCAACATTCCTAGTGCATATACAGTGCCTATTTTTGGACATTTTTGGACAGAGACGTCACTTCCAAGACAATTCTCCCGCTCCTGTTGTGCGTCAAGCACGTCAGAAATAGTTTGGATGGCCGAAGGCGCCCGGGATAGGGACATCGTCCCAGCATTCGTAATGTATACATGTAACTTTGGATTTCTGCCTTGATATTCCTGCCTTGTTGAGCCTCATTTCAAGGGCATGTCAGCAGAATTATAGGGACTATTTTGTTTGCTTGGTTCTTGGCAAGGGTTGGTGGATGCAAGTTCGACGTCGATCTTGAGTGTTGTCTACCGAAGACCTACTTGGTACGGAGTAGTAGGATAAAAGATATAAAGTGAAATAGAATAAATAGATATCAAGATAAATCAGTCGTCTTCCGTCTCTTTAATATATCAAGGTTCCTTAATACTCTAAAAACGCTAGGACCAAAGAAGTAAAAGAAGTACCAAACAGTCCCTCGACATACTGTTGACAGGTCTAATTCTGGCTGCAGATCTCCATGCAAGCGAAGCGAATAGTTGTGGATCTTAGAAACTACCACATGACAAGAAAGTCAGCAAAGCCCCGTCTATGCTAGATTCGGCTATATCGGCTGAAATGCGCAGCAAGATACATAAAGTGCAGATGCAGGTTAGCCAAAAACACCCAGTTGTATTCGGGGTTTTGATTCCGCCTGGCAAGCTCCCTACAAGACTGGTTCGTCTGATCGCTAATAGTATACCCAAAAGCCATGCTGTCGGATTCTGTCGACGTGGACCCGGTGTGGTATGTGGTATGTGGTATGAGGGGGCGATAGGTACTAAGTTAGTTCACCTGTAACTATTTCTGTAAACGAGGAATTAAACGTGTATAAACCAGAGTATAGTTCTCTCAAATTATTCTTCTCCATCTCTCATCAAGACAAAAATCAAGATTCAAAAGCATTTAACAACCCGCGGTCCAAACATCCCATAATGACATTCTCAGAACCCCTCAAACTCGAACCAAACACACTCTACATCCTCCTCCTTGATCGAGGAAACACATATCTCTTTCACTGGGAACTATATCTCGCCCAAACAGCCATAACAGGAACGGTTTTTCACATAATCAACGAAGGCGGTCCCACAGCCTGGGAATACAAAAGCGAGCCAACAAGCGAAATCTCAACTCTCGGTCGACTGGTACTAGCCCTTCAAATCGGGACTGTGTCACCAGTTCTACATGCTGCGCTGGCAGATAGACTGGCGATTGTACCCTTGACGCTGTACTCGGCACGATATCGGGAGACCTTGAATTGTGTTGTTTGGGTGCTGGAGGCGCTGTTTGCCCTTGATGATGAGGGGTATATGTCTCTGCGCATTGGAATTCGGGAGATTGAGCAGGAGGCTAAGCAGATTGGTATGATGAATAAGAGTCAGTGTATTAGGACTCTTGTTAGAAGTCGTGCATTTGCGAAGTAGGATTGGTTGAGTAATCGGGATGCGGATTGGGTTGATGGACTTGTATACAGAGTCATGTAATAATTGGATGATGAATTTCAATCTTCTATGGGTTGGATATTGTAGATTGTAGAGTCTGGGGGGTGTACATGGTGAGGTTTAGGATGAAAAAGCAAGGTCAACCTTTTGGGTGCCGGGGCAATGAGAAAAGAGATATATCCCTTTATGCGTATTTTCGAACAAATCCAACAGAAAGCAAGCGCGAAACAATTCGGAGACTAGTCCATAATCACATAAAGTCATCATCGCCGAGACCGTCATCACCATCGTAGTTGGTGTTGTCGACAGGGCCACGGCTAGCATTCAGCGAGATCTTAGTCTTAGCAGCCTTGGTCTTCTTGTTGCCCTTGTCGGCAGCGCGCTCCTCGCGCATCTTCTCGTTGCTAGCGGTGGTCAGAGCACTGGCAATCTTCTTGATCTCAGCGCTGGGCAACTCCTTGACAAGCTTGCGAGTGAAGTCCTGCGCCCAGAGGGTGTACTGAGGGTTCTTAGAGTGAGGAGTCAGGAGGGGAATGAGGACTTCGCTCAGACGAGTGAACTGGTCCTTGGTGGTGGGTTTGAACAGCGGCATGGAGGATAGGTCGATGGACTTGGTAGGGTCGGTCTGGTCGCTGATGACGATGGCCTTGGGGGCACCCTTGTTGCGCTTGGTGTCGACGGAGCCGAAGAGATCCTCGGCATGGGCGAGATCGGCATCCTGCTCAGTCCTGCGCAGACGAGCGCGGCGGTCCGCCTCATCCTCGCTGCCAGACTCATCGTTGGAGCCGGCCTCCTGTCGTCGCTGCTCCCGGTGTTCCTCTATCCGCTGGGCCTTGGTCTTCTTGTTTGCTGCGGCGGCGGCCTTGGCCTTGGCCGCGGCTTCTTCGGCCTTCTTGGCCTTCTCGCGCTCTACCTCAGAGTCTTCGCCGGCATCCCATGAGTCGAGGACCTATTCAGAGTTGTGTTAGTGACTGTCGCGAAGGGAATGTTGCCTTAGTAAACGGTTTTAGGAGGCTGTCTTACATCTTCGTCTTCTTCGTCGTCGAATCTGCGGCGAGGGGCAACGACAGGAGGAGGCGAGTCGCTCTCCTCTTCATCTGCAGGAAATTAGCAAGGGCTCGGTGGCGGGGGATGCTAGTGAAGGATAAGAACATACCCCACTTAGAAGGTGGCATTTTAGGCTATAGAAAAAGCGTCTGAATCTGATAAGACAGAGAAAAACGAAGGTAAGCAATGCGCTATACGCAAGACCAAGTAACAAGCCAAACGGACCCAGCAAAGGATGGAGGGGCGAGGGCAAATTTTATGTGGGACACAACTTATCGTCCCCAGGTGGTATGTGCACGTGATCTCTCGGGGCCTTTTGATGCCCGATGAACTGATCGTATACTTCTTTTACTATACAATTTGTTTGTTTGATTTTGATTTTGAAATGGAAATTTATTTTCGTTTAAATTCTTAATTAAATTCATAATCATCATGGGTTGTGACGGAATCATCAAACCATCTTTTTGAGCCTAAGCCCGATCTACGCTGAAAGACCGCATTTACAGGTTAACAGCAGTGCGGAACTTCTCGCCAGCGTAGACAGCGTTGGAACCAAGCTCCTCCTCGATACGGAGAATCTGGTTAAGCTTGGCCAGGCGCTCGGAACGGGCAGGGGCACCGGTCTTGATCTGGCCGGAGCGGAGACCGACAGCGATGTCAGCAATGGTGACATCCTCGGTCTCACCGGAACGGTGAGAGACCATGACACCCCAGCCGTCGGCGTAGGAGTCCTTGGCGGCCTGGATAGACTCGGTCAGGGTACCAATCTGGTTGACCTTGAGGAGGAGGGCGTTGCAAGACTTGAGCTCAATGGCCTTCTTGATGCGCAGGGGGTTGGTGACAGTCAGGTCATCACCAACAATCTGGAAGTCAGAGGTCTTGTAGAAGTAGCTCCAGGCCTCCCAGTCATCCTCGGCGAAGGGGTCCTCAATGCTGACAATGGGGTACTTGGTAGCAAGGGACTTGTAGAGGTCGGCAAGCTGCTCGTAGGTGAGCCACTTGGTGGGGTCGCTGTCGGGGTTCTTGAAGTCAAGATCGTACTTCTTGGCATCGGTCTTGTAGAACTCGCTGGAGGCAACGTCCATGGCGATCTTAATTTGGCCAGTGTAGCCGGCCTGCTCAATGGACTCGGTGATGAGGTCAAGAGCCTCCTCAGCGGTCTGAATATCGGGAGCGACACCACCCTCGTCACCGACGTTACCGGCGGACTGGCCGTACTTCTTCTTGGCGAGAGCCTTGAGCTTCTGGTAGACCTCAGCACCCTGGCGGAGAGCCTCGGAGAAGGAAGGAGCAGTGCTGCATTCGTCAGTCATGGGATCACAAAGGTTTATGGTGCGGGGAAACGTACTCGGGAACGATCATGAACTCCTGGAAGGCCAGACGACCACCGGCGTGGGAACCACCGTTGAGGACGTTCTGGAAGGGGACGGGGAGGACGTAGGGCTTCTTGGTGCCGGCAAGGTCGGAGATGTGAGCGTAGAGGGGAACACCCTTCTCAGCGGCGGCAGCCTTGGCGATGGCCAGAGAGACACCGAGGATGGCGTTGGCACCAAGGTTACCCTTGTTGGCGGTTCCATCGAGCTTGTTCAGGAACTCGTCAACCTTGGCCTGTTCCTTGACATCGATGTTCTCCTTGATGATGGCGGGGCCAATGGTCTCGTTGACGTTCTTGACGGCCTTGAGGACACCTTCAGAGTGAACTTGTTAGGGCTAATCCCGGGATGTAGTTGAAAGCTGATGGTTTACTTACCCTTACCACCCCACTTGGCCTTGTCACCGTCACGGAGCTCAACGGCCTCGTGCTGACCTGGAAAAAGGTGTTAGCTTTCTAGTCCTATTTCCAATGCTCGTTCCAAAATTCAGGATGGACATACCAGTGGAAGCACCGGAGGGCACAATGGCGCGGTGGAGGCCGGTCTCGGTGACAACGTCAACCTCAACGGTGGGGTTACCGCGAGAGTCATACACGGAGCGAGCGTGGATCTTAGAGATAGGCATTTTGAAGGACAGGCTGATATTCAGTCAGTTGAAAGAAAGGAAAAATGAAACAGGAACCGGGCAGATATATGGCAAAGCAGTGTGACTAACGGCGGGGGTGTTCACCGATGACCGAAACAGAATGGGCGGGATGGAGAAGGACGTGATTTGCGAGCTCAACCACTTGTTGATGGGGCAATGTCGGTTTGCCTACTTACGATCACCGGGGGAGTTTTGGGTATTCTTTGGCTTTCCAGAAGATTGGAGGAATGTAGAGGTGAAGGTATAGGGGAGAGGAGGGGTGATGGCGGGGTATATAAGCAACTTATGATAGTTCACAACTTACCTGTATAAAGAGTAAACAACTTCAACTAAAAGAAGATTATCTATACGGAGGGACCCGAGTCTTTTATATATTCCCCATTAACCCCGGAAAAGATCATTGTTCCTCCGATTCTTTCCAATGCGACGGTGGGGCTCCACGGCTGTTCTCCAGCTCTTGCTGGCTGATCCGACCGTATGCGGCACCTCAGCTACGAGATCTTCCGAGAAACGGAAGAGCTATGATGGCATAGTCTTCTTCCGAGCATATGATAACCTTGGGAGTTAACGCGCTGTACTCTGTAGGCTTGTGTATACAGCCCTCCATGCCCCTCCATGCCCCCCTCCTGGGCCGTGCTTCAGCCTGGTAGAAGCTGGAAGTTGCCCACTGTATTAGACTGGACTAATACTACTGTAGCTTTGATTATGATATTTGACCAATCGAAGCAACTTGACTTGTTCGTCCTACGTAGCATTGCCATGTTTCGGATTTGACGAAGACAGCTTGGTTGCAGCCTGACTTTTGAGGTGTTCACATCGGATTTCGATGAGCTAAGTATTACGTAATCTATTGCTTTCCATTGTTGATGCCTTAATGCCTTTGATTTCTGGCCTCATCGCCTCAGGTGTCTGTAAATGCCAAGAACATGACATAATAAAGTCATGTGACCCTGTTTGGCTCATCGCTGCGCCGCGCTGGAAGCTCCCCAGGCAAGGTGCTACCTTTCATTCAGATCCATCCATTCTGCATCCACGATCCTCCACAACCCTACCTCTTTAGATTGCACTCTCGACTCGGCTTTCCTATCTATCCCTTTACACTCGGTGAACCTGTCGTTCGACCGTCCTTCATCATGAGCGACCCGGAGCGCGACCAGTCGCTCGAGGACTATAAAAAGAGCTTGCTCGAGCTACGAGAGTGGGAAACTAAGCTGAAGACTCTCCGATTGGGCATCAAGGATCTCCAGCGGGAGTTTGATATCTCCGAGGAGAACATCAAGGCGCTACAAAGTGTGGGTCAGATCATCGGCGAGGTGTTGAAGCAGCTTGATGAAGAGCGATGTGAGTATCATCCCCATCCTTATACATATTGGGCTTGTTTTGGGCGACTGACCAATCTATAGTCATCGTCAAGGCGTCGTCCGGGCCTCGATATGTCGTCGGTTGTCGGTCAAAGGTGGATAAGGCCAAGATGAAGCAAGGCACACGTGTGGCCTTGGATATGACAACACTCACCATCATGCGGATGTTACCTCGTGAGGTTGATCCTTTGGTGTACAACATGTCTCTGGAGGATCCCGGGTCGGTCAACTTTGCCGGTATTGGTGGTCTCAACGACCAGATCAGAGAGCTTCGAGAGGTTATTGAACTGCCCTTGAAGAACCCAGAGCTCTTCCACAGAGTTGGTATCAAGCCTCCAAAGGGTGTCTTGCTCTACGGTCCTCCGGGCACTGGTAAGACGCTGCTTGCACGAGCAGTGGCCAGCTCGATCGAAACCAATTTCCTGAAGGGTATGTTTGGACCTATACTTTCTCTTTGCAAATCACTGACTATGTCCAGTGGTCTCATCGGCTATCGTTGATAAGTATATCGGTGAATCCGCTCGACTGATCCGAGAAATGTTCGGATACGCCAAGGAACACGAACCCTGTATCATCTTCATGGACGAGATTGACGCCATTGGTGGACGAAGATTTTCGGAGGGTACCTCAGCAGATCGAGAAATTCAGCGGACGCTGATGGAGTTGCTGAACCAGCTGGATGGTTTCGACTACCTAGGAAAGACGAAGATCATCATGGCAACCAACCGACCCGACACACTGGACCCCGCTCTGTTGCGTGCTGGTCGTCTGGACCGAAAGATTGAGATTCCTCTTCCTAATGAGGTCGGCCGCCTGGAGATCTTGAAGATCCACACGAGCACGGTTCAGCAGGAGGGTGATATCGACTTTGAGAGTGTGGTCAAGATGAGTGACGGTCTTAACGGTGCTGATCTTCGAAATGTTGTTACCGAAGCGTAAGTGCAATCCGGTCCCCTAGCCACAAAGGATACTATGAACGGCGAACTAACATATTATAGGGGTTTGTTCGCGATCAAGGATTACCGCGACGCCATCAACCAGGATGACTTCAACAAGGCTGTACGGAAGGTCGCAGAGGCGAAGAAGCTGGAGGGCAAGCTTGAGTACCAGAAGCTGTAATTGTAACTATCTTGGGCAAGTAGCCTTTAGTGCGTGGTTTAGATCTTTCTCATGAAGCGCTAATACTATGCATTTAACTATCTTGCTGCTCCAACTTGTGGCGTAGATCGCAAGTTTTGCTCAGTAGGGTCCAAATTAGAATATAAGTATCATCATTGAATGATTTGAGTCCTGTAGTCTGGTGAAATCTTCATTGTACAAATTATCATATGCCTCCATTACTTCGGGAACTGGTTACGCGTGCAAAGAGATGATTTGCGGACTCCTGATGTTGGCTCTCCACTTCCCCAGCTTCCTTCAACCTTGCCACGTTCTCAATCGTCTTCGTCAGGCGCGCGAATTCCAGTTGAAACTAACATCGAAGTTGTCCCTGGATACTTGGCTTCAAATCTTGGACTTGGCAACTGAGAACACGCGGGACAGTCTCCGCGCCTCCGCATCTCCGCAGAGAAATTGTTTACGGACTACCCACCATACACATCTGGATCAGGGTCACATTTGCCTTGTGGAATAGTGTCTGGATGAGCATTCCGACCAAGACCACGACACAAAAACGGTATTTGTGAATGAATAGGCACATCGGTATGTCACATTCTACAGCGAGGGGTTCCTTCTGGAAGAAATCAAACTGACTGACTGCTATTGAACAGCAAACTAGAACTCCTACCTGAAATCCCCAAACCTACCTCCTCGATTTCAACCAAAGCGGAACCCCAGTAACACCGAACCGCCATTCCACCCTTATGTGTCGCGATCGTTAATAGCAACCCCGGCAGACATTCGCGAAGCCAGAAGCTTTCCCAGAAGAAACAATGGCATACCAACCATCGCGCAGTCCGTTCGCGCCAGCGCAACAAGACAGCTTCTACCAGAACACCCGCAACGGCCTCCGTGGCTACGGGCTGTCCAACCAACCGATCCCCCTATCCAACAAAGTGAACGGCTATTTCGAGAAAGACCGCACGCTACCGTTATACAAAGACAAGCCCTACTTCCAACCACGGCGCACAGGTCCCCGGAGACGATGGAGGCCGTTCTTTGCCCTTCTAGGAGTGTGCAGTCTGGTATTTTTGCTATACTATAACTTCTATCTCCCGTCATGGACAGGGTCACGATCAAACGATAAGGGGGTGGAACTTTGGAGGTGGGCTCAGACTTTGGAAGATGAGAAGGCTTCTTCGGATACATCTGACTGGGCTGAGAGGCGAGAGAAAGTGCGGGACGCTTTCATTGTTAGCTGGGAGGGTTATGAGAAGAACGCATGGGGTAAGTTGCGATGTGGCTTTATGTGTTGAATGCAGAGCTGATATTTTCCATAGGCTACGACCAGTATCGTCCCGTGTCAAATGTCAACCAGGAAGTTACTAGCGGCGGGTTAGGCTGGATGATCGTCGACTCGCTGGACACCCTGATGATCATGAACCTGACCTCCAAGGTTCACCGAGCCAGACAATGGATCTCGACGTCGCTGCGGTATGACCAGGACCGGGATGTGAACACATTCGAGACGAGTATTCGCATGCTGGGCGGTCTGCTGTCTGCGCACTATCTCTCAACCCAATTTCCCGATTTGGCACCGCTGAACGACGACGATGTCGGTGCTGCGGGTGAAGACCTGTACATTGAAAAGGCTACCGATCTTGCCGACAGACTGCTCGGGGCTTTTGAGTCTCCGAGTGGCATCCCATGGTCGAATGTCAATCTTAACACATCAGCGGGTATCCCAGTTCACTTTGATGAAGGAGCCACATCTGTCTCTGAGGCTGGGTCAGTGCAGCTTGAATTCAAATATCTGGCCAAGTTGACTGGGGAGGCAGAATATTGGAAGATAGTGGAGAATGTCATGAAGTTGGTTGACTATCAACTGCCCCAGGATGGCCTTGTTCGAAGTACTATTCACCCGGATAGTGGGTCGTTCAAGGGAGACAGTATTAGTCTCGGCAGTAAAGCAGACTCGTACTATGGTATGTTTAAAATCTTTGGAGATGGCTGGATTTAAGCTGACCCCACCAGAATACCTCATCAAGCAATACCTGCAGACCTCACAACAGGAACTTGTTTACAAAGAGATGTGGGATGAGGCCCTAAAAGGCATCCGCAAGCATCTGGTCACGTTCACCAAGAATGCACAGCTCATGATCGTCGGCGAACGGCCTCAGGGCTTGGACAAGGAACTCCTACCCCGAATGGACCACCTGGTCTGCTTCATGCCGGGAACAATTGCGCTTGGCGCTACAGGAGGTCGGTCACTATCCGAGGCAAGAAAGTCCTCGGACTGGTCTCAACAACGCGAAGAGGAGATCCTCATGTCACGCGAGTTGATGAAGACCTGCTGGGCAATGCACAAAAGAACAGCAACAGGACTCGCCTCCGAGATCTCTTACTTCACGCTAGACTCCGAACCTGTAATGATGGGAGACAAGTACCCAGTCTTGGCCACGACCCCGAAACAAGGATCAAAGCCCGAAGCACTGAAAGGCATTTCTAAGTCCCTGGAGACGCTAAACGATGGCTCGAAGTCATGGCGCGAAGACATCGAAATTCACCGGAACGACCGCCACAACCTACAACGCCCGGAAACGATCGAGTCCCTCTTCTACATGTACCGCATCACCGGCGACGACATGTACCGCCAGTGGGGCTGGGAGATTTTCAAGTCTTTCGTCAAGCACACAGCCGTGGTAGAGAAGAAGAGCGTCTCTCGCATTCCAACAACAACCAACAAAGAACCCATTTTCCGCATTAAGGGCTTTACCTCGCTCGGTAATGCGGATGCCGTCCCACCCTACAGGCGTGATAATATGGAGAGCTTCTGGATGGCAGAGACACTTAAGTACTTCTACCTCCTGTTCTCGGACCGTGATTTTATCTCGCTTGAGGACCATGTCTTTAACACCGAGGCTCATCCGTTCCCGCGTTTTAAGCCTAGTGGCGATCTCAAGACCGGGTGGGAGAGGAAGCCGAGGCAGTAGATTTGAGATGTTTTTGACGAGGCATGTCCTTAATGTCCGTTATATGTTTTGTTTGTACAGCACTTTGTTTCTATGCCATGTTTGGAATCTGGAGAACCAGATTATGTATACCAACTTCTGTACATGACCAACTTTACTTTCAGGGCGCAATATATAAGATTGGTGGCTTGAGCTTTCGATACTAGAACCTTGCTTTCCAAGTTCGCTTTTTGTAGGAAATTGATCAGGCCCTCGGGGAAATATATGCGAAGTAGCTAAAATAAAATAATCACCCGAAATAATGCTTCCCCGGCTGTCGTATGCAAGCTATGCAAAAGCAATGACCAATTATACGGCAAGGCCCTGCTCCTCTCTATCCAAAGCAGCCTGGATCAGCTTCTTGAATCCACTAACGGCGTCCTTAATTTGGCGCACGCTCAGGGCCTCATGGTCACCATGAGCAACGAAGATACTGCCAGGGCCATAAAGGTAGCGCTTAACGCCAGACCGAACAGACAAATTCGGAACATCGGTACCATAGTTTACGGTAGTGACATCAAAACCCTCAACGTCCACATCAAGATCCTGAGGCTCATAAGACTCGCCATGCGAGCCGAAGTCCACAACAACCTCCGCATCCACATCACGGGAGGCATCTTCAACAGCGCGCTTGATAATCTCACGGGCCTCGTCGGGTGTACCAGCAGCAAGACGAACAGAGACATCAGCATAGGCCTCAGCGGGAACAACGTTAGTCGCAACACCAGCGCGGACAACACCAACGTTCAGCGTCGTGTTTCCGTACTTTGGGGAAGATGGAAGACCGCCCTCCTTTGTGGGGATGTTTCCTAGCTGATCGACGCGAGACAGCGCGGGCAGGATTGCTGAGACGGCACTGCGGCCAAGCCATGGGTAGCCCGAGTGCGCGGCAGAGCCGTGAGCGAAGACCTCGAAGCCGAGCATGCCCTTGTGGCCGGAGACCAGGGCTGCTTCGGTGGGTTCACCAAAGACAAGGGTGTGGTAGGTGCTGTCTCTGTTATATTTCGAGTCGGAGAAGACCTTCATTCCATCACCGCCGACTTCCTCGCCGACGACGAAGAGAAGGCCCAGCTTTGCGTTGGGTTGTTCGTTCAGCGTTTCAAGTGTAGCGAAGATCTGCGCTGCAACGCTGCCCTTAGCATCAACGGTACCGCGGCCAGCCAGGACGAGATTTTCGGAGTCAAAGCTGCCGGACTCATCGGATTGAGGGCGATGTACCGAGTAGGGGATGAAAGGCGGGACAGTATCGATATGACTCGTGAGAAGGATGGCAGGAGGCTCCGAATGCGAGTCAGGATATGCGTAGATGTTGTATCTTGTCTTTGGGCTTTCATGGCCCTTCAGCGGAGGCACCTCCTGCTTCACGACGGTGAAGTTCCGGGCCTCTAGGAACTTTGCGACGAAGAGGCCGACATCGTGCTCGTTGCCGGAGATTGACTCAATCTCGACCAAGTCTCGGTGGAATGATAGTAGAGGTGAGTTTTTGATTATATCTTCTGCACCGGTCTGGCTGTAGATTGGCTGTGACGGCGTGGATGGTGCTCCCAAGGGTTCCTGTTGCGCAGGTGCGGGGTGCGGAGAAGCCTTCACGCCAGTGATAGCAGCCGCGGCTGCAAGGTATGAAGAGAACTTCATTGAAGGTCAACAAGATGGATAGGCGACAATCTAAGGGTGATCACTTCAGTAGCAGCTGCAATTTTACAGCATCAACTCCGGAGACTCAAAGCAAGCGGGTTCGTGGAGCCTTGCAGGAGGTTGGAGTCCGATGACGGAAACTCCCGATAGATAGTATAGGTCACGTGGATTGGAGATGGTGATATTAGACCAAATAAATAGATATGAGGTGATCTCCATTGATCCCGATTGGACAGTATTAGGAGTGTTTGTAGAGATGAAGCAGGTCCTTTGTCAACAAGTGAAGCTATTTCACATCAACTTGCTAGGAGTGGATGGGCTGGGTAAAACATGGAATCTACGCTATTCATATGATCTCCAGGCGTACTTAAGGGTCTTTGAGGCTTCAATTTGATTGTCAAGAGCTCAGGAATTATCTTCAGTGATCGGAATCACAATGATTCAGTATCACTATCCATCCTCGTCCACGTATCTTCAATCCAGCGGAAGCCAAGAAAAGGCACGACGAGGCACGACATCACAGGGTATTAAGCTCGTACAGTGTGTTCCTTTCCATGAATGGGTCCTTCTGGCAGCTGATGGGTACAAGTCACGTTTATCACAGGTTGGCTCGACAAATCGCACGCTCTCCAGGATCTTGTGTGTATCAACACATCAGGCAAGAAGATCCGGCACTTCAGTCGTATCCGCGGAACTGATCTAGAAGTGTGACACGTCCCAAGGTTAGTAACAGCTACCTATATATGTGGGAGATATAGACGTACCTGCTGGTGTCATGCAGGAAAAGCAAGGGTATGGACCTCACATCTTTAAAGGTGCCTAGGCCGCTCTCCAGCTCTGGATGTAGCCCTCACGAACGATTGTAGATCATGTCAATGTTGTCGGCATCAATAGTGACAGCCTCAGACCCAGTGTGGTAGTAGTGAAAGACGATTCCAATGTTATCAGCCGAGACCGTGATCGCACCTATGGCAGTTTCGGCCCAGTTGTGGATTACTCGGATGTTTCCAGCGGAAATATTAATCGATCCAGGGTTAATATTGGTGTCAAGGAAAAGGAGACCAATGTTGCCAAAGTAGTAGTTTATTGGAACAGGCTGGCCATCTTCAGGGATCCTGATTCGAACATTCTCTGCGTGATCGAAGTTAATAACGGTGAATCCGGAAGACATATTGACGGCGAGGGCGGTGTAGTGAAGGCGGTGTAGCGAGGGGAGGGAATTTAACTGCGGGTGATTGGGTGAGAGGTCATGGGTTGGGGTTACTGTTTGTGAGTCGCCATGCGTTACCTGTTGCCCATGATCATTTAGTAACTCCGAGACAGCAATCCGTTAGTTCGAATTGGTTTTTGAACACAATAAATCAAAAATAGAGTCTCTACGCTATCCACATACACTACTCTACTAGATAATTCTTGCAAAAACAATGGCTTTACTAGTGTAACGCCACTAGATCCTTACTTCAGCAATTCAAGGAAGCAGCATAATATAACTCTTGAATGTTTTCCCCGTATTATTTGATGTGCTATCATGCTTTCACAGTTATGTATAGTATGTGCCTGCTAGGCCCCAAATGGAGCATGCATATCCTTGAGGGATAATGAACGTCACGCCGTACACAAAAAGACAAGCTTCTAACCCCTGTCAAAAAGCTCGGCATCAATATGCCGGGAGGGGTTCTTGTGAAGGCAGAATCAAGCATAGGGATGCTCAGGCCGGTGGATAACGGGTGCTGTGGGCCTATTTTTGAGAAGTGATCTGCGTACGCAACACACATACTGGAGACAACCATGATGAGCGGCAAATCGGCTGTTCAAGGGGGATATTTCTAAGTAGATAGTTTGGCCTGAATATTGGACCAAGTCGTTCTTCTCAGAACTATATAAATGGATATTCCCACCGTGGATAGTCCATCAGAACACCATCCTATGTTCCGCTGCATTATTTATCCGGCTTATTCAACTTTTTATTCAACTTATAAACCATGACCCAGCAAAAGAGACTTCTAGCGACAACGGTGGATGACCATGCAAAGCACAATCCTAGCAATGTGTTCGCAGTCATCCCCAAAGGCGCGGAAGTTAGCCACGGCTTCCGTAGCCTTTCGATGAAGGACCTGGCACAGGCTGTGAACGGTATGTGTTGGTGGATTGAAGAGACTATTGGACCAGCACAATATCCCGAGACATTGGCATACATGGGGAGCAATGATGTGCGCTATTTCATCTTCATGCTTGCCTGTCAGAAGACGGGATACCTGGTAAGAACTAGGTCGCCAAGATGTTGATATGGAGACTTGTTAACCTATTTTCATAGGCTTTCTTGCCTTCGACTAGGAACTCGGACGAAGCTCATCTCCATCTACTGAAAGTGACGAGCTGCACCAAGCTCTTCTTCAGCGAGGGGCGACAAGCAAGAACTCTTGAGATCCAGGGACTCTCTTCGACAGCCTTGGAGATTTTCCAGGTTCCCGCTCTCAAGGTCGTTCTCAATGATGAGCGTGGACTGCCCCATTACCCATATAACAAGTCATATGTCGATGCTGAAAATGATACAACGTGCATCATTCACAGCTCAGGAACAACAGGTAGGTCTATGAAAGTATGAAATTGCGCCGTGCACCGCTAACTTCCACAGGCATGCCCAAGCCAGTGTACCTCACCAATGGCTTCTTTATGACCATCGATTCGCTCTCTAAGCTTCAATGGCCAAAAGGCCGCCTACCGGCTCCATTCTTCCATTTGGACCAAGAGGACCTAATGCTAAGCACGACACCCCTATTCCACCTAATGGGACTTATGGCCTTGGTTTTCGCCGTCTGGTTTGATGTTCCTGTCCTGATCGGCCCAGAGAAGCCACTCTCCGTCAAGCATATGGTAGAGCTCATGCAAGTCGGCCGTCCAACAGCAGCAATGTGTCCACCTTCGGTTTTAGAGGACATGAGCTATTCTGACAACGCACAAGCCTGTCTGAAAACACTCAAATTCGTTCTTTTTGGAGGTGCACCACTTGCACCAGACGTCGGAGACCGGCTCCGCCAGTGCACTAGAGTGGTGTCCGTGATCGGGACCAGCGAGATTGGCTGGATCGCATCGATGGTACCAGAGGACCCAGCTGATTGGGGCTACTTTGAATGGAACGAAGCATACGGTGTCAACATGCAAGATATCGGCGAAGGAATGTTCGAGATGGTCATTCCTCGACAGCCGGATGCTCGTGACTTCAAGGGCATCTTCCATACCTACCCCGACATCAGTGCCTATCATACCAACGATCTGTACACCGGACACCCGACAAACCCGCGTCTCTGGAAGTTCCACGGGCGAAAGGATGATGTGATTGTGTTGAGCAACGGAGAGAAGTTCAACCCCGTCGGAATGGAGACTATCATTGAGGGTCATCCGTTAGTTGGAACTGCGGTGGTGGTCGGTCAATCCCGATTCCAGGCTGGGTTGCTCATTGAGCTGAACCATGATGTGCCGGACATGGACAACAAGCTCTTTATCGAGCAGATCTGGCCGACTGTGCATGTGGCTAATCAAAACATTGCTGCCCATGGGCGGGTCATGAAGAACAGGATCGGGATTGCTTCCAAGACGAAACCCTTCAAGAAGACGCCGAAGGGTACTGTGCAGCGTCGGGCTGTTCTTCGGGACTTTGAGGAGGATATTGATGCGATTTATGCTCAGAGCTTGGACGATGAGTTCGTCCAAGATCTTCCGGAAAATTTAGACACAGAAAATGTCACGAAGTATATTCAGCAGACCATTGCGTGTGTCTTGGAGAAGGAGATATTCAGTACTCAGAACTTTTTCGGTGCTGGCCTTGATTCTTTGATGACCATCCAGGTCTCTAGAATGCTGCAGAAGGCTATCGACTTGCGCCCAGAAGTGAAAGCAGTCATCACTGCTCAGACCATCTATGCCAACCCAACAATTGATCAATTGTCTACAGTTGTGGTGGCCATGCTGGAAGGCAAATCCCAGGCTGGAATCCCGCGTGAAGAGAAGATTCATAACTTGGTGGCAAAGTATACGTCCGACCTCCCAGTCCAGAAAGTCCGTCACAATGAATTGCAATCGCTTACCACTGTGATTTTGACTGGCTCCACTGGCTCATTGGGAAACTATCTACTTCATTGTCTATTGAGCAGCGAGTCTATTTCCAAGGTCTACTGTCTCAATCGCTCAGATGCTGAATCACGACAGCGGAAGGGCTTCAAAGAAAAGGGCCTACCCTTGGACAACTGGAACAAGGTCGAGTTCCTGCAAGTATCATTCGGAGCAGAACGCTTTGGCCTAGACGAGGTCAAATACCAAGAACTCCTCGACTCAGTCGACACCATCATCCACAACGCGTGGAAAGTCGACTTTAACTACACCGTTGATTCCTTCGAAGACACTCACATCCAAGGTGTGCGACGCTTCGTCGACTTCAGCCTAAGCAGCCGCCACAATGCCCACCTTCACTTCGTCTCTTCTGTAAGTACGGTGGGTAACTGGACACCCGAGATGGGACCGTCGATCCCCGAAGAGCCCATGGAAAGCAACGTCGTTCTCCCTCAGGGCTACGGCGAGTCCAAACACGTCGCGGAGCGCATCTGTCTCGAAGCAGCACGCCGATCAGGTGTCCCGACAACGGTGTATCGCGTTGGACAGATCGCAGGACCAACCACCCGAAGCGGACAATGGAATCCGCATGAATGGCTGCCAACAATCATCGCGACGTCAAAAGCGATGGGTAAAATCCCAAACCGCTTAGGATCAATGCCAGTTGATTGGGTACCGGTGGTAAGATCTATCTAAACCCCCAACAAGCCGAAGGAGCCGGAAGTCCCTGACAGAGAAGAATTCATGCTGATCACTCTTGAAATAGGATACCCTATCCGCGATTATGGTGGAGATTGTCAACACACGTCATCGGTCGTCCGAGCAGCCCTGGGCCGTGTTTCACCTCACCAACCCGGAGGCAGCGCCATGGTCGTCGCTGGTCCCCGCCATCCAGGCGCAATATCCGGTCGAGCCAGTTGATTTTGCCGCGTGGGTTGCCGACCTCGAAAGCATTCCCAATCCCAGCAGCGCGGACCTCGCTTCCAAACCCGCGCTCAAGCTATTGAGTTTCTACCACGGGCTTCAAGAGGAGGGGGCATGTCTGTGCCATTGGATGTCCGGCGGGCAAGGGACGCCAGTTGTAGCATGCGGTCCTTGGAACCAATCTCAGCCACGCTGATGCAAAACTGGCTGCAGCAGTGGCAGTTCTAATCTATAGATTAATATATATGCTATATGGAATCCAATAATAGACCCCGATTCTGGCCTGCTTACCTCATCCACGATTAGGTTTTTTTTTCCGTTCATTTCGTCGAAAGATGTTGATTGGCTGTCCATCCGAGTTTAGAAAAGGCTAGTCTCGTTTAAGCGAAAGCGCCACCATTTTTGGACAAGTGACCTGCAGGGATGTTTCTAGTAGAAGACACGATCGGAGATCGCCAGGGGAAACCCCATTTATTATAAGTCAAAAAAGAGACGTGTGATATATCCACTCAGAAATAGTCAGCTGAAGACAAAGTGACCTGTCGAGAATGTCACTGTATACCCGACTCACAACACCTCAAGAGGCACACCCGGACATGGGTCCCTAAGACCGTGGTTTCCCCTCCTCTTGGCTACGGAAGAGTCGCCAATCACCATGTAACAAGGCAATGTTTCCCCAATTTCCGAGAGGGCAATTCTGCCATGTGGATCTGACGTCTTGCCTTCCCCTCGTCTTCGCCTTCCCCTCCCATTATCTCATCCCGGAACCACACTGTGACTCTATGTACGGCTTCCGTTATCATAGGTTCGCCTATATTTTTGCCCCCCGTTCGGAGCGTACACGGGTAGTATTTCCAACTGTACCTGCTCGTCATACTCGGACAAAGTTCTTACAGGGACCCCGTTGAGCTCCTTTAATCACGGGTGAGTGCAGGAGAAAGAAAACGGTCGAGGGGGAACCAAAAAATAGAAAGAAAGTGACCCATTACAACATGATAAGAATTCACCGGACCTGTCTACCCTAAGGCGAATGAGGTTTAGGTTGCTGGGTCGGTATGGCATCATAAAAGTAGTTCCCGGCATCCACCTCAGTCTAGATGCCGCCGATCGCACAGTTAGACTTTAGACGGCTGTGTAGCCGTTTGACAGAAAGTATACATAAATAGGAAGAGGAATCGAATAGAATCAAATAGGAATAGACAATAGAGAGAGTATCTATATATATATAGAGAGAGAGAGAATATGTAGAAGAATACCTATAGATGAAAGAATGTCATCGAAGCATCGAAGAGGAAGGCTTCTAGACTCTTTCGGTTCCGCCGTTCCGCGGTATTTTCCTTTAGGAATTCGAACCGACGATCGGCACTTAGTCAGTTTTCACCACCAACGTCTTTTGTCTTCTCTTCTCTGTGTATACAACTTCTTTTCTTACCTTAACACCCTCCTTAAGGCCACTACGATTTCCCTGCATTGTTGGTCCGTTTGCTGATCGTTAGTATCCCCCACCCCCCCCCCCCCCAACGAAACGTTCGTTTCTGCCCAGCCAGCTGGTCACCCCAACTTGTTTGGTCCACGTCGCTTGCTTTTTTCTTCTTTTTGTATTTTGGATAGGTTCTATCAAGATCTCTGCTAACTGGCCCTGTCGTGCAGTTCCCGCTTTCCCGGATTTTCATCACACCGCCACATACCTTTCCCGCCCAACAGAGGGGAATGACTCTGGGAGTGTCTTTCTTTTTATCTACGCTCTTCGCCAATGCTGAGCTGTGATCCATCCCCATTTACACAGCCACTGGCACCCGTTCATAATGCACAAAGTGTCTCAAATAATCGACGCGGCACGAAACTCTCTCGACGATTCAACGTCGCGCCAGCCCATGTCTCCGTTGACTATTAATACCTCCGCGCCGGCATCACCAGCCATTTCTTTGTTCTCTGCGACAGGACACAACCGTGTCTCGAGTTCCGTCTCTTCGCTCGTCTCGTCAGATCTCAAGAACTCCATGGACAGCCCCAGAAGTCATTTGACCGGAGTCAAAGAGGAGGAATTTCGTGACTCATTGGAAGATCAATATTTCCGTATGCATCGCACCGGAGGAGAGAAGATATGCGCTAACAGTTATCTAGAACAAGTTGATTGTGGCATGACTGACGAGTCATACTTTCCCATGGATCACTCGGATAGTTACGACCTCAGCGATACTGGAATGGAAACTGCCCCATCCCCGAAAAAGCGCCGCTCAGATGACGCATCGATGAAGGGAGTCTCGCGCATTGGTTCGCGCATCTCAACCATGTCGACTCGGTGGAAGCGATCCCACTCTTCGGGCACCGAAGTCGATGCGTTCCCAGACGATCTACGGTCTCGCGCGGGCTCAGCTTCCTCCGCTCTAGCCAGCCCTGTGGTCGGTCCTTTGAGCCGCGTCGACTCAATTCCCCCTTCTCCCGCTCGCACCATCTTCGAGGAGCGCGTCAGCGACTCCGGCGCACGCCCAATCGATATTACCCGAGCGAACAGCTTAAGCCAGGATGACAATGACAAGCAGCAAGCCACCACCCCGCTTCTGCCCCCATTGTTGGGTGACGACTCATCAAACGTGGTTTCCCGTGTCCAGTCGCCCCTGCAGTCACCCTCGGTTGCCGATGTTAGCGAGCCTCACCACTGGAATGTGACTTCCGACCCCCGCTTCATGGGAATTCTTCCCTCGCCCCCGCTTTCCTCCAAGCCATCTGTGGCCTCGTTCAACCGGCCCCGAACTAGCACCTTGCGCACTGTCTCGGGCGAAGCACCCCTCGTCCTTTCCGACCCCAACGATGAGTGGGCCCACAAGCTCGGCCACGCAAATTTCACCATCCAGCCCGAGCCGTATGTGCCCGTGCTTTGTGACATTAGCAACTTTCAGCAGTTGCGCGTCGATTGGGATATTGCGCGGTGTAATTTCGCCAAGCACCTCGTCCGCACAGGCGAGCATTACGGTGTTACCTCTACTATCTACAGGCTCACCGTTGAGAAATGGGAATCCATCAACCGCAATTGGCGCACCCAGCACGAGGCCATGCTCAACCAGCTCGAAACTCTAGACGGTGTCGCCCTCACCTTGACCCAGTCTAACATCCACCCATGCGAAAATGTCCGCATCCCCCGTCTTCACGACAACGACAAGTTCCCCGAGATGGGAGACGAGGACATCGTCGGTCCAATGACCGTCGCGCCAGCTACAGAAACCGCCGGCCCGTGTCGAACTGGAAAGAAGAGGAATTTCTTCCGCTTCTTCCAGGATCTGGTCTCCCGACCTTAGACCGCACTCTTTCCCTGTCATCTTTCTTTTCTTTCTTTCCTTTCCTCTTTTCCTTCCAGCGACCCACAACGATAATGACCATAGAATATTCCCCAGGGCGTTTCGATATGCGCCACCTGTCACGACTAATGTCTGTTTCACCGTGTTTTCTTTGCTTTGTTCAATAATGACTCACGATTCCCGATCCGGTCCGCGACTACTTCCTCGCCCCGATCATGCCTTTCCTTCTCTTCCGAGTCATGTTTTCGGAATACGGTATCTGTCTTGTCTGTAAGACAGATACTGTATTCTGACTGGGCTCAGACCCGTCCATTCCTTCTTGCTTAATTATACCCTATACACCAAGCCTATCCATTGTACCGCATAGACTTCCATTCCTATTTTCCCTTTCTCAAATGCCTCTCAAAAAAGAGCGCAATGCAAAATAGCAAAAGAAAAAAAGCGCATGTTTTCATATTTGTACATATACACATCTTACCTATTGGCAGCTTAATATTGGATTTCCGTTTGGCAGTCTCTGCACAATACATACTTTACTATACTATACTATTCTATTAGCTCAATTGCCTATTCCTGTCAGTCTCTCTCAACATTACACTAATTACATCCCGCATATTACATGCACAGCGAACACGAGGATGACAATGCATAGCCCCAACATCCGAGGTCCAGGCGTGTGGACCATCCCTAAGTCAGTTCATGCATCAGGAACAGTGCCTGATCACCAGTCCGTACCTGACCTGAACCTTGCGTACCTGAATCCATCCCAACCCACAAAATACCTGTCACATATGAGTCACTACAACGGTGAAAGCCCTAAGGTCCACTTCCACCGAACATGCACGACCGGTAAAAGAGTGGGGTCAGCCACGTCTGAAGGGCACTACCGCCATTTTCAACTATTACCGGTACAAATAACATAAATACAGTTATTGATGGCTGAGCCGACTATTACAAATCGATTATCAATTACTAATCTTGCAGTCTCTAGGCTGCAATGTCACAATGCACCTAGGTGGTGATGCGATGCCGTTGGGAATGTATCTGATCCCAGACTAACTCCATCTGGGTGAATATCTGTAGGAACAGATGTTAGTGTGATGTTAGCGGATGGCCCGGGACCGGATCGATGTGTTCCAGGTGCCTTGGCGTGCGATTTACTTTCCGAGTCTACGCTTATCTGTACCTGAGGGGCTCTGGTTAGGGCTTTGGATATACCCCTGGGACCCGGTCCTTCAGGGCTAAACAGTAGGTATTGTAATGCAGGTACTTTTTTACTTCTCTCTCTCTTCTCGCCTAGGGCCAATCGCTTAGTCTTACAGTATCGCCTACTATATCCACTAAGAATAGTATCTATAACAGTTAGATTAATGCATGGGTATATATGCACTATCGGAATAATGTCTTGGTCCTGGACTAGATGTCTAATCCTAGGGCCTGGGCTGACATGTGAAGAGTATAGTATAATGAAACGGGTTATGTCCATATCCGGTTTTCATACATAGGTCAGACCCATTAGATTAGATCTAATATGCGCCAACATGCGACAAAGGAATCCGAAACATGCATTGATTCAGATCCCTTTATGAATGCAGTTGAGATGAGCATTTTCCACTTTGTGTGGTCTGAGAGTCAATTGGACTCTGATGATACCTATCAATAGATCTACCATGGTATAAGATGACATATGACATAGTCCGCAGAACCTTGCAAGCCAAGGTATGTCATGTACATGTACACGTACGTGCTCAGCTGCCATGTTTCACATTATCGATTGTAGACATGAGATGAGACATGGGGATTGAGGGAGCCTAGAAAGAAGCAAAACCCCAAGCCCACGAGACGGAACATCAAGTACCAATGTAGTCAATAGTCATCGGTGCCTTCAAATCCAGTACTGGCCCCAGAGAGCCTTGGCCTCGTCACTACCGCGGAACTGAAACTCGACAGGGATGATATCGTCGAACCCCTCGTCCAGCGTGGGTGCCTTGAAGCGGCGGGCGAAGTCGCCAAAGGCAATTCCTGGAAGAGAGGTTCTCGATTCGGGGTTCTAGAGGTGGAGATGTTAGTATGGAGATTTGTTATTGGGTGCCGGTTAGAGACACGGGATATTGTCGATTGACGTGGGTACGTACCAGTTCTTTGTTAGATGCTCGGACTGCGTTGTTGTGTTTGCAGAGGTCTGGTGTTGAGATGAATTGGACGCAGCGGATGGGCACTTTGAGTTCTTTTGCTAGGGAGGTCCAGTGAGCTCTTGTTTCGGGGTCTGCATTTGTGTTGTCTGTTCTCGGGTAAGTTTGTTGTTTCGTTAGAAGAGGTATGGATAAGGGCTAAACGTACCGACTACAACCGATTTCTTTGCTTCCAGGTGCTCGCGAGCGACCTTGAGGCATTTGGGGCGCTGCTTTTGATTAGCGTTCAATTCATTGGAGGGAATAACTTTGCGAAGGATGTATGTTCATACCGTTTTGAGCATATCTTGGTTCACTCGTTCGTAGTCAAGAGGTTCCAGATGAGTCCAGTAGAAAGTAGATTTCCCAGCACCGGGGCTCCCACAGAAGAGGACTAGTTCCACGGGGTGCTTGCGGGTAAATGGTTTGGCTTTTTTATGAATTAGCCATCTGTTTGACCTTGGGGATGACTTCTTCGTTAGAAAGGGACAACATACCAGGCTCCTCTTCCGACTTCACATATAGCATCGGGTCAAAAAGCTTTGTTGCTGGCTCCGTCGTTTCACCCAGGAAGAACTCCTCTGGCGTTTTAAAGGGCATACCAATGTTTGTGGCCAATCCACTAGATCATGTATCAGCATGTATCCAAGCACAATGCCAAATGTGAGATTGAGATGCCTTACCGATCCACACCCGAATGATCACCAGGCCGGCCAGCCGCATCTCCTACGAAGATCGAGCCAGGCAAATCAACGCCTGCAACATCAAGGTCATAGTCATCCAAAAACTCGTGCCACATCCCGAGACGAGGCTTCCGGTACTCAGGGTCTGTAGTAGCTGCGTAGACGCTCACTGGAATATCAAGTTGCGTCAAAACGACAGTCATCTTCTCTTTGAAGTTGGAAAGACTCTTCGATTCACTTCGACCACCCTTGATGTCTTTCTGGACGCTGATCTTCTTCTGGTTTGAAAAGATTACGACTTGGTAGCTGTGAATTGTAAGCCAAAACCCTTTTCTCTTGCTCGGACTCGTATATTTACCCTTCGGAGTTGAGCTCCTTCAGGCGTCCTGGGACCTTGTCGTTCCACCATTGCCAGTCTGTTGCTGACTTTGGGAACACATTACCGGATTTTGTCTTGATCAAAGTTGAATCCTGAAGCGCTTGTTAGCACGGGCCCCGGACGCTCGATGCTGGTTGATATCATTCTGGGTAAATTGGACACTTACCAGATCAAAGCCAGCGATACGGCGTTTCCCAGAGGAACTGGGCACTTGGTTCTCGGAGGTCTGCTTTCCGATGACAACACTCGTCCCGATAACGCGCCATGTAATCGATTCGGGCTTCTTCTGCGAGGCCGGAGTGAAAAAGTTTGCAACTGATTTTTCTATAGATTGCCTATCAGCAGCTATATCAATCATGGTGGCCAAAGAACCTACTGGTGACAGTTGGGTCGACCTTGCGGCGCAGCGGGGGCGGTGAAATGGCTTGGGGGGAGGCACTCCTCTTAGCCGGCCCCTCGACCATTCTGACAATGCGAGCGAGAGAGAACGTTTTGAAAGATCCTAAGGCTAATTGGGACCGCGGCTCAATAATTATGTGCGCGTTGAAGTTGGAGATGCAGGGACGCGCCGAGACGCGGAGTCGCCAAGTCACATGGTTTGAACATTAAATGATAGAAATCAGTGAAAAGTGAAATAAATTGTGTATAATTTGTTTTGATCGCTAGATGGGTATCTTTCTTTTTCTATAAATTATGTGCGAGTTCCAAAGCCGTTCCCTGCTTTGATTCCTTCAGCCATAGCAAGCACGGGGCATCTATTTTGCCCTCGTATCAAGCGACAGCCGGTCTGCCTGCTCGAGCCGAACTGCTGACTTCAACTGCTCGCGTAGCCCGAAAAGATGCTGCGAGGCTGTCTTCATCGTCTCTTGGTTGCTACCGTCCTGCACAGTAATGGAGGCCTGTAGAACGTAGCTCCCACTCTTTTCTAGCGGCGTCATGTCCTTCAACGCAGGCATCTGCTGTCGAGGTTGATTTGGCTCCTGGCCAGCCGGGTAATGCAGAACCCGCTGCAAAAAGAGAGTAATGTCATTGTGAATGAACAGATCACCCTCGACCACATGTTCAGTCACGAAGCTAGAATTTGATTAGCGCCGGCAATCATAAGATCGAGTGGCACCACTCACCTATAGCCCCACGCACTCATAGTCGGCATGATATCTCCCGATGGCAAGGATGAGCTAGACATCTGACGCGACGTGACGGCCGAGCGAGTGCCAGCTTCCGGGATATCTCGAAATTCCAATTTCCATGGCTGACGTTCATAGTCATACCGAGGTGGCTCTGGGTTTTCGTCTGTGCCATCCATCTGCGTATCGGAGTCGGTTGCAGAACCAAAGTCCTTTTCAGAGACTGGACCAACCACCTGGGTATAGTACATGCTCCCATTCAGCATCTTGTTCAGCCGCTGAAGGTCCCCCGACTGTATATCCTGACTGGCACCCGTGCGCCCCGCCACCAGACCGGGTTTGCGATAGGCTTTGAAGATCAGCCGCCGCTCCAAGCAATGGCGGGGCTGCATGGCTGTCAGACCAGCGAGCTGTTGGAGGAGCTCATGATGCTGGTGGACCGGGACCGAGGCGAAGAGCAATACCTCGTGCATCTTATGATATGCGGGTGAAGCCGGGATGTTTAGTCAGGGTCCAAGCTTTTGAGGGGGCGCGCCTTATCGAACTATTAGATGTGGCGATTTGTAATGCTTCAGGGCTGTAAATCCTTTGGGGAAGGGCTCGTGAAACCCTCGGGATATCAGTTCCGGGTGATATTCACAAGGGGCCCGGAAATGTAACTCTGCCGACTGCGGGGGTTCTGGGAACAAAGGAAGTAAACTCGGAGATGTTCAGATCATAAAGATTGATTGGCGGAGGGGAGCTTCACAAGAAGAAAAGAAGATCCAAGCCAGAAAACGGGGAGCTCACCGGGAGAGCAGACTGGGAAAGGATCTGAGAGTCGGGGAATCGCAAATGGCTTCACACTGCGGGGGATGAGTTTGGGGGATCCCAGTTTCCGGCGCCGTCTACCAATAGAGGAAACCGGGTCAAATTCCGAACAAAAGTCTGACAGATGTACAACAGCAGTGATTAGTGGTCAGTGGTCAGTTGCAAGTATTGCATGGTTGAGAGTACACCGCGTAGCCGTTGAAGCAGTTCATCGGCTCCGACCCGGTCCCAAAGCGGTAACCCTCCCGCTGGCACTTATCTTCTTCGTCCTTCCTCAAGTCTTTTCTTTACATCTTCTGTCTCCTAGCTATATCCTTCTCTTCAATCGCATACTCGTCCACTATCACTTGTTAATCCAATTTACCACCTCACTCACTCTCTCTCACGCCTCCGGGTCGGTTCGGATACTACCGGACCCGTTCAATTTCGCACACTCACGTTAAATTGATCTCAACCCTCCCACCTACACCACCTCAATAACCAACCTTCACAATGCGTGTCACTTCCGCTCTCTGCTCTGCTGCCCGCACCCCTCTCATTCGTTTTGTCGGAAAGCGTTCCATCCCTCGTACGTGAATCCCAACTCGAGTCCCCTCCCCGAAACCCGAGCTAACATTCTGTCTCCAGAGTCGGTTGACCACGCTCCTCGCGCTCACCCCGCCTCTCCCACTGGAACTCTCCCCAACTCCTTTGCTGCCTACCGCGCGAAGGCTCAGCAGCACGGTCCTCTCGGCCGCGCTTCCTTCAACAGCACCATTGGCGGCCACTCGGGCGCGTCGCTTGGCCCCGTCAAGCCCCAGAACGGCGAATTCTTCGACCGCACTGAGCTCCCGTCGCGTTTCGGTCGTCTCCCTGGACTCAGGCTGAGATGGAGGCCATCGAGACTGGCGGCGCGAGCCTGTTCGCCTAGGCGCCCCCTGGCAAATATCAAATTAAAATATGAGCGATGGGGCATGACACTTCTTTTGGAAGTTGTGTGATGAGCGACGCGGAGCAGAATTGATTCCGTTTCAACTCAGGGTTCATTCTGCTGCTGTTGAAAGGTGGCGTTGAACCTGGCCGACCGTGGCATGATGATACCTCGGTGGCTGGGGACTCGGATCTGATGTTCAGATCGGCCACTCGTTTCCTCAACCAAAACTTCTTTCACATTATACCTTGTCTCTTGCTGGTTAATTGCCATGGCAAGGACACTTTTTCTACGGAGCGCTTCTTTTCCGCTCTGTTTCTTCGTTCGTTCTGTACCCGGCGCTGGTGGTTGAATTTTTTTCGGTGTTCTTCTTTTATGTGCAACCGCTCTCCATCGGAAGAGCGAAGTGCTTTTACACATATAGATCTGATTGGATTGGCCTTTTGGAGGTTCTCATTCATTGTTGATAGTAGGCTCTGGGAGCACTTAGAATAGCAATGGATAATTCTCGAAGACAAGACAAGATACCAATTAAGGTTATTACTGCAGAGCATAACCCTGCCCTATAACGCCAATACTATAGCAGCAATCAAGGGTTGACGTGGTCTCAAGCACGTGCCTCCTGACTACCTCAAACCCCGGATCTTGACCTTCACCATCTATTTGATCAACATGGGGTCTAGTGAATCGAATAGGCTGGTCTTCCAGGAGACAGACGAAGCCGGCAATTCTACCGCAACCTACATCTATTCTGGGGACACTACGAAGCGAGCTTCATTCGGTCGAGTGGATGTTGTGGTAAGATATTTCTCAGTGTTCGAATCCCAGGACTTGTATGCAGCATGTTTGACATACGCTCTTGCATCTTGCATCTTTCATCTGCTTATCTGTTGCCAACATTACCCTGGTTCCGGGGAGACATGACCCTTGTCTACTTGCCCAGATGAACAGTTCCCAATCATATGTACTAAACCCGTGTCTGTTCATTATAATGCTATGGATGACATGGTCTAATAATGTCTCGCTTTGGTCCAAACATGGAGTCGTGATATTCAAATCCTAATGCCCTTATTGACATTGGACAGGCATCTTCCCCGTCTACCTCGCCATGGTCAACCAAGCCTCTGATCGGCTCGCTGAGTGATGTTTTTCTTCCTTCCGGGTTTCCTCACAGTGTCAGCGACGACTATTTACCGTGAGTATTCCAATATGGTTTAGAGAGGCTGTGCTATACCGTCTTATGTGTGCCCTACATGATCTACAAATGCTAACGTGAAATCTCAGATATCAAATCTTCGTAAGCCAACATATGCACTAAACACAGATCCTGTTTACCAAATCAAATCTAACCAACCCAACGCAAGCCAGGACTCCCTCCAAGCCTTCTGCAGCTCAATAGCGGGCCTCCTCTCCTCCCGCGCAGTACTACAAGGTCAATCCCAGGCACCTCAATCTAGACCCCATTTCTAACACATTAAATAGGAGTCGGCGTCGGCAACGCAGATGCCTCCCCAACTTCAGCTCTCCTACTTCACATATTACAAGACATATCCGGGCGGATAGCCACAATCCTCTTCGCCCACCGCGTCGGCACAGCCCTAGAACCAGAATGCAAGACCTACAGACTTGCCGCAGATGTCTTCAACGACATCGCCATGATCATGGACTGTCTCTCGCCGATGGTTCCTGCTGGCATGATGCGGGTTACTATCCTCAGTACGGCAGGGGTACTGCGTGCATTGTGTGGTGTCGCTGGGGGAAGTTCGAAGGCTAGTTTGAGTGCGCATTTTGCGAGATGGGGGAATTTGGCGGAGCTTAATGCTGTATGTATATGTTTTCTGGGGTAGTCGGTTGAGATTAATTTGGGGAGAGCTGACATTTGATTTGATTTTATAGAAAGATTCGTCTCAGGAGACGGTTATTTCGCTGTTTGGGATGTTGGTGAGTATTCTTCCAGTCCTTCTCTTCTTTCTTTGGTTCAAAACTATTCAATTTTCCTGGGCATTCGTCTCTAACGCAATGAACAGGTCGGATCTGTTGTCATTTCACACATAACCAGCTTCACTACAACCTGGATAGCGCTATTACTCCTTCTAGCACTCCATCTGAGCATGAATTACGCCGCTGTCCGAGCAGTTCAGATGACAAGTCTGAACAGGCAACGAGCGAACATTACATTCTCGGCTCTACTAGACTCCGATACGAGTTTGGAAGATGCGCTAAGCCTGAGCTCGACGTCGACCGTAGATCCCAACAGCAAACCGACTAACGGAAGCCAATTGACGATCTTCACACCTGCAGATATAGCACGTCACGAGCGCATCTTCCATCGAGGTGAAGCGCTACAATGGACAACCCATTCATCGACATCGACATCGACATCGACATCAACGGAATATCTAGGCTCAGCCCAAATAGGGCTTTCTTTGTCCTCATTCTTCGGCACTTCTGCCAATAGCACGAGAAGTACCATCCCAGTACAACAGCTCACAGCCCTATTCTCGAACGAGACCTACCTCCTCTTCCTCACACCTTCATCATCACCCTCATCCGCAAAGAGAAAATGGCACGCATCCATTCTCCTCAAAAAGGGCTGTACAACCCCTGATCAGTTAAAAGCATGGACACATGCATTGCTAGCAGCGAGGGTACTGGTCTTGATGCATTCATCAAAAGAGACGCAGACCAAAATTGAAAGAGGAAGAAGTAAAGAAAGAGGAAGATCAAAGCGGGGGAGAAAAGAATCCCCCGATGCAACGGACCTTTCAAGTTCGAGTGATATATTCACAGTCCTAGACGTCCTTGAACGAACTCTATCCTGTCTCAACGCAGAGTCCCGTTTTGGGGATTATCTCGTGCGCTTGCGGGATGTAGGCTGGAACCTTGATATTGCGGCATTGGAGACGAGGGGTCGGAGGAGGGTTTCTATTTGATTTGGTTTGATTTTGGCTGGGTTGTTTGTACTTTTATTACTATCAATTTCACTAACACTAACAACATTGATTGCTTTTGCTATTGTCTTTTCTCGGCGTTACTCTTCATCTAGTTATTACATATTACCCACTTCTCGTTCATCTCGTCTTCCATCCCCAGTTCCAATTCTAGTCCTATGCCCTTAGCATCCAATGTCAAATACCCACTATCCAACACGTAAATACAAAATCCCCAAATGAACCCGAACAGCCTAAACAAGACAAAAGGGTTACGCATGCATCCAAAACCGTACAACCCCAAAGCCCTAAAAGTCAATATTGACTCCATGTTCCCTCCGGTTTTTGATATCTGTGTCTGCTTGTACAACATGGTTAGGTGAAAGGTATGGAGTGCGAGTCATGAGCTTGAATCTTGGGCTACGGGCTTGGGTTTCGGGTTTCGGGTTTCACGAGTCTTAGTTTAGGGGAAAGACGTTAATAATTGAATATTTCTTAGGTATATGGTTTGGTGGTTTGTTTATACGGTTGTATGTTGGTGTAGTAAGTTGCTTAGGAGATCTGGTTGATGGGTGTTTTGTAGGGAGGGAGGATGGGTATGGTAAATGTTGTGCATGCTCGTGGAATGAGAATGGGATACAATTGGCATTGGGTTCAGCCACTTTGATACTTTGATAGACGGTGACATTGTGGTGGGAAGTAATTGGATTAAGCATACCTTTGCTTCATGGATTGTGACTGATATCGCCAATGATATCACTCACATCACATTCATGTACTCACTCTACGTGAGAATCCGTCCACGGTGGATAGACCACAATTACAATGACTACAATTAAGAATCAAATGAGAAGTGGGGTATCAAGTCTATTGATTTAACAAAGAAAACTCCATAGGGGAGGAAGATATGATATAGAGACAAGAGCCTCGACAAAAAAACGCCAGGATCCAATCCGGAAGACCTGAGGCCATCCAATCTATAGATGAAAACATGATATGATATATACGGGGTTCTCTCCCCGTGATGCCATCCGCCAAAAAAAGTGACAAGGGAAAAAAATAGGAAAACGCCGGTTTCATATGCTTTCGATGCATCATGCTCTCATACACCGCCAATGTAAACGCTCGAAGAAGGCTAACAAGTCGTAGGATGATGCATATCGGAATTCATGCGAGGATGTAGTGAAGTGAGATATCGTTGAGGTCATGGAAGATGTCGTGAGTTGAGAAAGGACGAAAGAGGTATGTCCGTTTTGTAGAGTCGGAGCGAAGTTGAGAAAGAGATGGTTTACTCGTCCAAACCAAGGATCTTGGGGTCGCGGCCCCCGTTGCTACCACCAGTAGACCGTTTCTTAAAGCCTAGCTTCATACCCATCTTCTTCCACGGGTTCTCGGTGCGAAGTTTGGGGCTTTGCATGGGGAGGTGCGGTTCGCTGGCAGGCGGGGTGGTGGGCGGCGTCATGGGTTCCTCGGCTGTGGGACTGGATTGCGGAGAGCCGCTGTCATCGGTCAAAGCCAATGAGGCAGATTCGCCACTGGGGTTGAGCAGAGCGCCGGAAGTGCGTTTGCCAATGGCATGCACGGCGCCGAGCGACATGTTCGAGCGGCTGTGACCCGTTGATGGGAGATCCCGCGTTGATGACTGAGGGGAGGTCCGCTTGGCACGGGACCGGACCTTTTTCATAGGGTTCTCTTCCAAACTTGTCGATGACAGGTTCATGATATCTTCCGGACCTAGGATCGGACCAGAGGATGCGAGCATGGAGGGGGAGGTGGTGTGGCTGTTGACAAAGGGGAGGAAGATGGATTCCTCCATCAAGTCGTGGATGCGTTTGACGGCGGAATCCAACGTCTCCGGGACGGGCGGGACGGTGACGTTTGAGTATTGAAGGAGGTCGTCTCGCACTTCACTAGAGAGATTTATTTCCCGCGGTGACCCTGGGAATATATATGCAGTCATCAAGCGTTGCCAGAGCATGCGCAAGTGCTGACTTTCCGGGCCGTCGGACTCCAGTGCCGCGGGGCCTAATCGGTCGACAAAGGCGTAGTAGGATTCCCGGTATCGGGTGGCCTCCATGGTGAATTCGAGGGTTTCTAGGCAGTGGTTCTGGGAGAGGTAGGCCATAAAGGCACTGAGAGTATATGGGGGCGGGGCGACATTGGCCAGGACTTCGTCGAGAGTCGGGCGCATGGAGAAGGCTCCCGCCGAGACGGCCAGGCTGACCGGTCGGGAGCCAGAAGATTCCATATCCTCTTCAGAATCGCTATCTGAAGAGGTGGGAGACAATTCGGGGGTAGTGGTTGGAGTATGATTCCGGAAGAAGAGGGACGGCGCCAGCGTCTTCTTCTTAAGCATAGCGTAAAGTTTGCGTCGGGGACCCTGTATCTTCGGTTTTTTTCTCACCGGTCCCCTGCGTGTGGGATGAGAATCCAGATTGATTATTGTAGCATAAGATGGGAAGAGAAAGAGAATGTGTGAGTGTAGTGTGAGGGAATGTGTGTATATGTAGAAGTGGAGGTTTGGATGTGCAGAAGGCAGAAGGGGGAGATAAAAGGGAGGGAAACCGTACAATACCAAAGTGGAGTCCAGTGGAGCGATAAGATGTTCCTTTTAGTCTTTTCTGTTCTTTTTCCCTCTTTCTTTTTTCCTCTTCGGGCTTTTAGGGGCGTTTTTATTATTGGCCGCGACTCTTGCCAGATGTGGCGACACGCCAATCATGACGAAATCTTCCTCAGCAAGGGAGTAATGTGGACAGGGGACATTCTACACTAAAAATGTAAGATACCATTCCTTCTATGTCAGCTTTAGTTTTCTGGAAAACTGCGTGGCGACTCCCCTAGACTCCACCAACACGAACTTCTATAAGCCTTCTATAAAATGTAATATAATAGTATAAGATAATAAATCGTGTTCCTGACCTAATTCCTAATGCAGCACCAATGTCAAGACGAGACTGGCCCACGGTGGCCGCTAGCACGCCATCCGAGACCGGAATGTGAATCCTCGACCCACGGTTCAATATTTTACAGTAAACCCAATACATGAACGTCACCTTAGGATCACCGGCCCTGCCGATCTTCCAAGGTTCTTTTACCAAAACCGGTTGGCTAAGATTTGCTGGAATGTTGTACAGCTTCACTTGAGGTTCTTTGGCACATTCTTAGGACTCGTGGACGCGTATGTGGCATGTTCAACCTTACATGAACATTGAAAAGAATTTACACTCGGTGGCATTATTATTTGATGGACATTTGGTGGACATTTGGTGGACATTTGGTGGACATTTGGTGGACATTTGGTGGTTATTTGGTGGAGGCGAACAGCGAAACCCGAACAAATGATCAATAGACTAGTCTTCCGTATAGAGCCTTTTTCTTTAATGTATGGGTCTATAAAAATATCAAAGATATCTAGTTCGGAATATGCCACCGCACCCGGACTTGCCCAGCCCTTCTAGATTTTCTAGAATACCCGCCGAAGCACTTTAGTTTTTTCAGCCCACACGATCGCCACATCCGTGAAAGAAATTTCATGATAGATGTACCCCTGGCGGGCTCGGGCACAGTTCCACACAGTCACCCTGTTGCACTGGATTTTCACTTTTTTTTTTCACTTTCGCCACTATCGAGATCTCTCCCGAGTCTACCCACACACACTAAGTTAAACAACTCTCTACGAATACGCATTCCCTGCACGCCAAGCCTTGTTACATATCCCTCACACATATCCCTCACGCACGAACCTAACTTGCATATGTGTACTCTGTAGGCAAACAAGGATATAGCTGGTGAGAGACGTCCTATTTCTTCCGGGACGGTAGCGTGGGCCAAGTCGGGCCCGATGCAAACCGAGAGCCAAGTATTGGAGGCTCCAATGTTCGGGCCCACTTCACTCACCGATCCCTTCGGGGGCCGTATGATAAGGTCGCAATTATCAACGGTGTTGATGTTAGCTTTGTCATGGTTACATATACAGGATCAGTCAACCATTATGTCATGCACATATTCTTTAGGGCTCTGGCCAGATAGAGTTAGGCTTGACACGGCTCTAAAGTACTTGGTTCGCCTATCAGTTGGGTTTAGAGTATCTGACTTCCTTCTGACTGGCGGGTTAAACAAACGTAAATAGATGATTCAACATTGCGTACCAGGTGACCTTAATTGAATTGAGATATTAATTGTAGCCATATGTAATTGAGGTGTTAAAGAGGCGAATCAAGCAATGAATCAACCTAAAATCCACTCTCATCGCAACCTCAGCGGTCAGGTAACAACGTTCTATATTGATCTGCACATAGTCGTTGTCGTCAAAAAAATTCGTATATGCAACTAACAAATTCAATCGAAGCACAGACCGTATGTCTCGAAGCTGTCAACTTAGGAGGCAAATCTCGGACTAGAATCCCGCACTGTAGAATGACTACTGTTGTATGTGCATGTAGTATATCCCAATCCGACCACTGACACACACACACACACACACATATATATATATGTGTGTGTATATATATATGTGTGTGTGTATATATATATATGTGTGTGTGTGTGTGTGTATGTATTTTTATACACAGTATGCAAAGACAAAAACAAAGCAAAGCAAAAACGCCGAGCCAAAAACCGCCGAGCACCGAAAAACCTCGGCATACCATATCGCGCCTAAGCAAAGATCAAGTTAGTACTCCGTGTCTACTCCATAGTATAAGTCCAAGTAAACTTCGGAGCCCACTCACACAATCAAAAGGATTAGCTGTAAGCTCGTAACTCACCTTCCCAGGCCCCTCATCTCTCCACAATTTCCCCGTTTCCCCTTAAAACAGCATGATGGCTCAGCAACCAGCAAGGATGCTTCCCCACATCGTCGCGCACGGGATCAAGATGCGCCCTTACCGTGGCCGCTGCGGGCCATTGCTTTCCAGTAGGGCGTCTAGAACGTCGGCTCCCTTACCTTTAGGGAGTAACGTATGGGGTGCATGTGTACATGTGCGCTACTGTAGGTCCTAGAC